CACACACACACACACACACACACACACACACACACACACACACACACACACACACACACACACACACACACACACACACACACACACACACACTTTGCAATAGAGTACACACTTATGTGCATAATTCAGAAATGCATTAAAAAGCCACAGAAGGCTTTGGGAATTATGTACCTGCTACTCTAGTCATTTAAAAAAATGCTACTTTTTGAAAACTCCGCCTATGCCGGCACTCAAACTTGCACTTACTCTTAAGAAGGATCCATTTAGGCAGAATTAAACCCCCTAACATCCACTCAGATTAACATATGATTGGCTAGCTCAAGCTATCAATGCCAAACCCCAACACACCTTGTGTTCAGCCGTTCTCCGACCAATAACGTTTAATACAAAATGGACATCCATCGAGATGAAGCCAGACTGTCTGACGTCCAGTTAGAGCTCCTCTGAACTGTAACACAAGCTGGCCGACTTCCTCATTCCAGGCCGTCAGCTCATAGTTGGGCTAGTAGCAGCGCTGCACTGGGAAATGCTTCTCTTATCTTGAAGTAGAAGATCTGAGCGGCCTTTCCGCCCCCAAACCACCACTTTGAACATACACACTCTGGGAAACTGGACACCGGACTTAGGAGTGATGGCTCCAGCGATGCTTTTGAATCCTTGGCTCCATATCCACCCAAGCACAACTCACACATTTTTAAGATGAACACATACGCACATGTAAGCGATCATGTAGGTGCACACACATGCATGGATGCACAAACATATGATGCACTTCCCCTTTTGGGCATCTTAAAAGTTGTAATGGCAAGTTAGCAAATTGCAAAGCAGACACCCGCAGTGTTTTAAAACCAAGGGTGGAACTCCTGCGTCATTAAGAAGACAGATGAAGCTGAAATGTGGACCCAGGCACTTTGGCTTTTTTATTTTCTATAAACAGACTGGAAGAGGGAACGGATCCGCAACATCTGTGCCTCTGTGTCCACCACTCGTCCCTGTCCTGTCTTTTCTGTCTGGAAAGTGCTTTTGCTCACGTCAATCTTTCACCTCTGCCCTCTCTGAACAACAGACACACACCCGTGCACAAATGCAGACAATTCCCCACTTGGGACCGGTGGCCCAGGAAAGCAAACGGCTCTGCTCTGAGTTAGTCCATTAGAATTCACAGCGACAGCCCGCCTTTTAAAACGCAGCACTTTTATTAGGAGCTAGAGATTAGAATCAGCATTATATCTAATACTAACCCGCCTCCTCGTCTCTCCACGGGTGGTACACACCACATTCACTGGAGCCCAGTCGACTGGCAAGAATATAAACACAACAGCAGGAGCAGCGACAGCCAGCTTTACACTACACTAACTTTGGAGGACGTATGCATTTTGTCTTGCTGTTATTATTTGGAGCTCCTTGTTTACGGAGCGCACAGTCTCCAAAGCCACTTAAATCATCAACAGCACTCAATGGCCTGTAAACGAGTCTGTGGATGTAAATCACGTCCGATGATCACTCAAGAACTGGGACTTCAGTCAACACACTCCAAACACAAGACAGGGCACTGAAAGCACTGGTCAGAGAGAGAGAGAGAGGAAGTACCACAGTGCACGAGCTGAAACCACACCAACTGGCTGTAATCTCTGCGGTGCACTTGAAAAATTAATAAGGCTTTTAATATTGGTTGCCGTTTGAGTGAGATGGAGTCATAAAGGGATGCACATCTTGAGAATTAATCAGGAAGCAGGACAGCAAGATCAACTGCTCCACAAAAACCTTCACACGGCCAGACGGTAGCAGTCGAGGAGCACACGAGGGGGACGGCCGTGTGACAGATGAGAGGGCTCTCTCCATATGAAACCTCTGGCATCAGCCTCTCTGCTGCCTCATGACCAGACATGGCAGCTACTGAAGCGGTGGGGTGGACACAGACCAACCTCTTTTCATTTCATAATCAACTCACAGATGCCCTGATGATCAGACACTTTGGAGTGTGCAGGATTCTTTTTAATTAAATGTGAAAAAGGCATAAAATACAGATCTCCAAAAAGGGTGATAGAAAAGTTGCAAAATAGACCAAAAAAAGAGGTTACTTATAAAATAAATCACCAATGGACTCCAGGTCAACCTAAACCATCTCAGCACATTCCACATTGTGGTTTCATGGGAGCTGATTAGAGCGGTGCAGCGCTGTGGGAGACGGAGAGGGGGTAAAAATACCCTCGAGTAGGGGTTTGTTGCGAGGGGGGGGATGGGAGAGAAGAGGAGGTGATGGTGTGTGGGGATGACACCATTTGACTGCTCTTCGGTTTGAGCTGCCAGAGTGACCCTGAGAGCGACACTAGAGCTCGAGGGTGGGCGGTGGTGTCTAACCAGCTGAGTGTATGGTGTTAGTGTACAGTGCTATTGAGATCACTGCAGCGGTCCTGAAAAAATGATTCATTTCTGGACTCTGAGTCAATTCAGACAGTTGCCCACAACTAATACTGTGCTTTTATAAGATTTTATACAAGCATGTTCACTGTTGTAGAGTTTACTGGATTCAAACCAAGTTTTATAAGAGCATGTGTTAGCATCGCCAAAGCCTTTCTGAAAACTTCAGAGTTTCAAATAAAAGCGCTTGGAAGGGACGCACAAAAAAGTTGGAGCGCTTTGAAAAAAACAGACGTTGGGTGCAGCGCCTTTTTGCTCTCTCCTCATTAGAAGCAATTGAACAAGATGCTGGCGCTCAGAACAATTTACGCTATTTGGACATTCAGCCTCACAATACAATCCTTTCAGCTTCACTCAGTTTCTATAGACTCAGAACACTTGTCTATACAAGTTCTTTGGAGTGCATTTTAAATAAGTTGAATAGTAATGTAACTTGCCGTTTTAAACTGAAAAAAATAGTGTTTTGATTTCCTTACACAGCATGGGGCAGTGAAGACGGATTCAATTGCTTAATGCGTCACATATCACCATTTCAATATTTGACAAACTAATTCCCATCATGGTGGCTCAATGAATGATAAGATGGTTACTGGATATGATAACAGTGTTGAGTCATACAACCTCTCTGCATCTTTGTGATTTTAGAGGAGCTTAGTTAGGCGTGTTAGAAACTGCACAGCGCTCAGACATGCCACTCGCGAGGAGGTGAGAGTGAAACAGCGACTGACTCATGTCGCGTCAAACCGGGGCTTTAACCTTTGCCATGTTACTGGGCTCATTCTGAAACAGTAGCAAGAGTCAGAAAGACAGTGTAATCCGGGTAAAGATAGACTAATGACGAAGTAGACGACCAGAGACGCAGTGTTGACGGAGGTTCTGAGGCGCCGCATGGATCAGACGGTAGGTTGTCTGCACCAGGAGATACAGACAAAGTCTTCACTTAAATATCAATCTGTTACTGGCAGCAGAAGCTCAAACACCCATCAAAGTCAGCCAAGCTGGTTAACACTAGCCCGGCCTGCACACCGATATTGCACACATGCCAACTGACATATGCATAATGTAGTATTATGGAGAGGGTGGAATATTAATACAACGAGGATCAGACATTGAAGTAAGCCTGAGTCATGCCAGTCAATTGCGACAAAATCCAACTCCTATTACTTTATCCACAGAGAAGGACACTATAATCAGTGGACTGACAAATGAACCTTTAAATTCAAGGTAAAGACTATTCAACCAACCAACAATCGTGGTTTAAAAACAATTTGTCCAAGCTGCTGACTCAACACTACTGAGACTCATTTAAACACTAAATTGTGTGGCAGACTTTGCTCAGAAGTAGAGAAAATTAAACACAGTCCAGTATTGTTCAGTTATCCTGAACTGGTCTATAGCAGGACAAACATGTGAGAGAGGAAATGCATGCACTGATGCATAACAAATATTATGACACTTATGGTTAAAAGGTCAATCTGATAATATGTCTTCATGTAAATTTAAGGTGATTTGGATCAGCCACACTCACAAGCACCACTATGTATGGACGACGTGCCTTTAGTCTATTTCGAACTAAATCTTTCTTTTTATCTCATCAGGTACTGTTGACTTGTGTGCGTGTGCAATGTAAATATTGTTATGACTCACCTTGCGCAAGCATACTGAACTCCAGGAACAGAGCGATGTGGTACAGCTCCATTGCCTCCTCGGCGCGTGTGCTCGCTCCACGGCCCCCAGACACCAGGGCCTGCACCTCGCCGAGGCTGCCCGCTGACGGGCTGCCCCGCAGCACCAGCCCGAGCTCCACCGCGTCCGTGTACATGCAGTGGAGAATAACCTGCACGTATTTCCGCGGGATGATGGACTCGTCCAGCACTATGCGGGTCGGCGTCTGTAACGTGCGCTCTGTCATTTCCTCTCCTGTGCGGATGCGCCGCTGCAAAAGGTTCCTAAAGAAAGGAGAACGTGCCGAGAGGATGGCTTTATGAGCCCTAAGGTCCTCGTCTGGGGTCCCGGGGCCTACTAAGCTCACTGCTGGTGCTGCAGCCACAGCGCCTCGCTCGTTACAGCTCTCTATCATCTCGGAGTCTGAGGAGAAGCTGAGCAGAGCGTCGTAGTAACACATGTAGTCAAACAGGCCCTTCATATCAGCCTCCAGGGAGTTGGGTGTACCAAACTCCTCACTGAGTTGCACCAGTACATCCACGTTTTGCAGCCTGGCATCCTCCGCCCCGCCCACACCAAACTCCATGCTGTACAGGTAGTGAAGTAGGGCCGAGAACATGGGCACGTCGATGCCAGCTGTCTCAATGTCCATGAGAACCTCTGCTCCATAGCCAGGGGATGACGACAGCAGAGCCTTGAAGAAGGGGCAGCGGGCAGCCAGGATGGCCCGGTGAGCTGGGAAGCAAGTACCTTGGAAGATGAGGTCCACATCAGTGCAGTACTTATGCTGGTAGAGGGCAGCCAGGTCCCGCTGCAAACTGGGGGCCTCAGCACGTGCGAGGCTGGCTTGGAAGCTTAGCTCCTTGAGTGCTGCCGTGCCCTCATATTCCTCCACCAGGGCGTTGGTGTCACGGACGTCCCACCCCGACAAGAGCTCCCGCATCTGCCGCGCGTGATCTGCCGAGCGGCTGGACTTCCTCCTTTTGATGAACCTCCGCTTGAGCGTCGCCAGGCCGAGGCTCTTCTTCTTCCTGTCTGCGGGCCGCTCATGTCCGTGCTCCAGACTGTATAGCTTAGACTCCCAGCCATATCCCTGCTGAGTGTAGGACGAGGTCCCTGGAATAAAACCACATGGCAGGTTAGCTTCAGGAGAATTGTAGTTTGTGTTTAAACAATCTAAAAAGTGTAACACATACTGGATATAAAGTAAGAAACCTCTTATCGTTATTAGATAGCTATGACATTTTTGTCTTCTGATGAGGCGTATACTTTACAACCCCGACACCACTTCACCCCTGAGGATGGACTGTTGGAAACACAATCTGTCTCTAGCACTCCTGTGGTGGGGCCAGCTCCGTCAGGCCACACACACACACACACCACCCTGACCCAGCTACCAAAGCATTTGGATCCAGTTCAACAGCAGATAAAAACAGACAGAATACATTTATGTTGTTTTGTTTCATCACAAGAACCAATTAGCTCATTGAGGACTTTGTCCTGCTTTGTGCTCCTCAAACGAGTTTGGGTCCATTCGCATACTTTGGCCCAATCAATTACACAAAACAGCAGTCATGTTTGGCTTGAGAGACAGGACTCGTACGTCAGAGGGAGCTCTGCCAAGGAGATCCTCTCTCGCTGCCCTTCTCTCGGCATCCATCAATGTGACCCAAATAGTAATCATACACTGTGAATCATCCGGGGCCCGGGCCAGCTCAACTGCTGCCGAGTTCAGAGAAAGCCTCATGGGTCTCAAGGGCCACAGAGATCCTTCGGCTCCTTCGACAATACTTTCACACTTTTAAGGAAATTCTACAAAAAACTCAAAGTCATTTAGAAAGTGAAATAAATAAAGTGTTTTGGACGGATTTATCTAAATTAATCTCTGATGCAGTTCTCCAAACCCTCTGGTATTGAGGGCTGCATTGAGAGATTTAAGGACCATGAGGCAGAAAGACTCCAACAGTTGATCATTTAGGATTATCAACTAAGTCACCAGTGGTCTCCAACAACCTATCAAAATCACTACTTCAATATAACCAATACAGAGTGGTCTCATACACCTGCGTGCATACAAGCAGATACTGTATGTTTTTGTTTTTTTATTGCAAGCAGGCACAAACCTACAGACAGAAATAAGCTAGCTGTAGTACACCAATGCTCTCTGTCAATGACATCAGCACTGCTGCAATTGAAACAAAAAGCAAAAGGGTCTCGGGCTGTAGCTGTCAAGTCCTTCAGTAGTAAAATGTGACAGTCTAACAAGCAGCCCATCGCTGGTCACAGGCACAAAAATCATGACAGCAGATTAGCTCCCATCCTGTCTGATAGCCAGCAGCCTTATAATGATCACACCACAAGCACATAGTAACAACAGAGCTAAGGAGAGCAAGACTGCAAGGCTAGTACTAGAAGAAAAGTAGGTGCATTGGTTTTTTTTAAATGCATTTGGGGTCAGTTGTACGAGTCAGTTCAAGAGCTCTCATGCACAAACATATCCACCTTTTGCACCACTAGTTGTCATGAAAGCAGGTTAACGTAATCTAAAGTGCGAGTCCATGCTAGACCTTCATTGTGTTTGTAGCATGGGTGCACACTGAGTACGGTTTTAACACTTCACTTCAGATGAGTGTGTGAGTATCATGCTTTTCAACTAACAGTTCGTCTAACAGATATATCTGATCATTTGCTGACTGAAAAGACAGAATCATCTATCAGAGCTGACTTTGTGTTAACTGTGCAATCGATGACAATACTCAATTAAACCACAGACAAACAATACCTACCTATAAAAGTCTGCTGTGCCTGTGAATTTCCCCCTATGCGTGGGGAGCATGAGTGTGGATAGCTGGATCCATTAGCACCCATCCTCACTTCTCTTCACTTGCTATTTGGGGGTCCCCCCTCCTGCTGAGTCATTCTGCTCAGACAACGTCTTCCTCTCAATCCTCAGTCGTGGGTCAGGCACGGATCCTCAGAGCCCCGGGCCCAGCCTGCCATACCTGGAGGGAGGACGATGAAAGAACAGTTAGAGAGATGTTCCAAGTCAAGAAAAGTGAATGTTTTTTTCAAAATGTTGCCGACTAGCATCTCACAGGGATTGCAACACGATGAGTTTGGACTGTTTGGACTCTGTTAAAGATAATGAATGGCCGGGGGCGTCAAGTGTTAAGGAAGCGGAACAGAGGGACATCTATTACTATCTATTACAGTTTCAGTGATTGATTTCAGTGCAATCATGAATCATAGATGCCTTTGCAACTTTACAGGCCTGAAATGCTACAAATTGTGATGAGGAGGCTTCGTTAGAGTGGCAGTCTTCATCTGAAGACCGTGTGTACAGACTTCCATCTATAATCTTCATCGGTGACTGAGGTTAACAGAGTCTTCCTCTGCCCGGCCCTCAGGAAACTCTGCCTGGCAGTCAACAACAAGTCTAATGCAAAAGTACAGTGATATTCAGAGGAAGGTACAACTCACTCATGCATGGTAGCCCGTCATCAGTGTATGAATAGGTGTGAATGGGTGAATGTAGTTTTCAAGCGCTTTTAATGGTCGGAAGACTACAAAAGCGCTGTACAAGTACAATTCCATTTCCCATTTAATTACTATTCGTCACTTCAGTCAGACTAAGCATCAGAACAGCTGCAGTGACCTGAGGTTGTTCAGTGAAACTCTTTCGTGCTTCAGAGCAGTGTTGATGGGAAATGTCACATCATGCAATCTTAGTCCATTATGTGACACGGGGGACGTCCGCAAGACAATATATATCCTGAGTTGATACAAATGTGTCGACCGTCAGCGGTTTCACCATGCCATTAGTACAGTGGTAGCTTTAATACCAGGACATTGTGGGCGATGCAGCATTTTGTATTTTTAAAATGATTTTTGCATGAACAGCACAAAATACTTTTGATTTATCAGGTATTTAATTAATTGCATGAGCCCAAAACAGACATTGCCGTCTGGTTATTTTGTCCATTGAAGATGTATAAACACGCCTTTTTCCACAGAAGCCATTTTAACAGTTTACCGTAGGAAAAGGTGTGTAAATAATTAAGAAGAAAGATGGCTGAATTCTATTTAGCTACTTCAGTTTCACAGTCTTGGTATAATGCATGCTGGCTTATCGTCACATTGTCGAGCCATCATTAATATAATTAGCAACTGCCATGACAAGTCAAAAAACGCCTATTCAAAGCCCTAACGCGATACCAACTCTACAGGACAAATGATTTGATTATTTGGGTGGTTGTTAATCTACATGGTTCGGTCAAATTCACATAAAGACAGAATATGCTCTGCGACACAAGTGAGCAACAACAAACGGCTCCATACAGCCATTTTCCCTCAGCTTATTGTTGCCAGCCATGACAGCAGTGAAGGAGCAGTAACTTTTCTGCTCTCTCCTTTGCACCGTCACTGAATACAATCTAACAGAAAGCAGAGCACCTCATTAATTAAGCACTCCCTTAACCATCGGATTATTAATTACAAGCCAAGTATATCAGACTTCATTTCTACCGGCATGAACATTTGAGATCAAAAATATTTCGATTATTTTCCAAACCAGAGGGACGGCTTCTCAATGTACTATGGCACTTAAATTATGGTTAACCTTCAATAAATATGCCCTTTAATAAACATATATTCTACATCCAATTGCGAAACTAGACGGAGAACTCTGGTGTGATGGGAGATGTTTTATTTCAGCCTGCTAGTTTTTCCTGCCTACTATACCAATAAATCATTGTGTCGGCCCCTTTAGAGCAGCACTCTACAGCCTCCCAAGGGTTCAATGGAAAACCACAGCCTGTTACTACCTACACACACACACACACACACACACACACACACACACACACACACACACCGAGCAGTCACACTGGAGCAATCCAATAAAAACATTGGTTGATCTTTATTTCATTAGACTGCTTTAAATAAGCTCCATCTTCACAGGGAATTCATTTGGACAAAATTAGAAGTTGAATTTGAATATGTAGGAGAGAGGAGGCAGCCCTTGAGATACATACTGTCTTGTTTGCAAAGGGGGGGGGGGGGGCCTCAAAGGAGCGCAGCAGAGGCAGAATAAAACAAAGATACCAACGCATCAATTGAACAGCACACCGACTCTCAGCGTTAACTCATTCAAACGAGTGAACCAAATTTAACTTGAGCTGCAGTGCAGAATCTCTGAAAGCGTAATTTAGGACGGCTATTTTCTTGAGACCGGACACTTTGCAGTAGTTTGGACTGAAACAGCGTGCGGCTCTGTTGTGTTCAGGCTGGGAGCAGAGAAGGGCAGTGCCACAGACGGAAGCGGGGGGGGGGGGGGGGGGGGGGGGGGGGGCGGGGGGGGGGGGAGGCAGACGCCAGCGGCCAAGCTGGACTATACGTCCCTAATGAGAGGTGACAGGAGACCCTCCCTGCCCCCACCTATCTCCCTCGACATACACAGAAACATATGCACGGCTGCTCACCTCGCCTCAGTCACTTGGATCATTTCATTTTATTTAAAATCAGCCACTTGCAGAGGTTTTAAAAGACAGAACCCCAGCCTCTCACAGAACATTACCATACAAAACTGCCTGGCACGAGAACAGGGCCGATGTATTATTCAAATGACAGTCAGGGCACCTTATCAATCATTTATGTGGACGTCCTCATCACGGCTAGAGAAAAAGGAAGCGGTAGGTATCCGGATCCCCTTTCCTGTCTGCCACACTCATGTTTTAGGAGCATGTTCTTATTATTTCAAAGCAGGGTTTTTTTTCCCCAACTCATCCACTTTAACCAAAGCTCTGCTGATGAAACACACACAGACAACATTTGGAATCAAAGTGACAGCTGTAATGAAGCTAGGACAGCATGACAAGACTTCAACAGTTGAAAGTGATGTGAAGAATTACTTGGGCAGTGTAGCAGATGAATGAGATTTTAGATTTCATGCCGTTTTAGTAATTTTATAACAGTTTGAACCTAAAGACTTTCCCTGCTTTGTTCAAATGGCTCAAAGACACCGAGGTGCTGTGCTCTCCATCGGTCCCACAGTGAAGCCTATGAATGAAATGATAAAATCACCACCTTTTGACAGTAATCTTTGTTAGGCTCAATCACACGGCCCCTAATCTTCTGAAGAGGAGCAATCACTGTGACAGTATCACAGTCAGGCCTGAAAGAAAGGGCAGCAACTGTAGAAATACCAAAATGCACCCCCCCCCCCCCCCCAAACACTTCCCCGTCTAAAATTACACAGTAGCTGCAAAGTGCTCTAAATGTGTCAAAGCTCTCATAAACACAACTCTTCAGTATCATTTATTCAACATGGAATTTGTATTAGTCTATCGCCGGCATGTTATTACCTCATGAAGTCCTGTCGCACTGATGCCAGAAGAAGCGTAGATAATTTACTTTCTTGACTCGCATACAACGGAAAAAGAAAGACGCAGGCCTTGTCCAACTAATAAAAAAATACAACCCAAGTATGTCAACTAATTCCTTGTGATTTCAGTCTTTAATATATACACATACATACACAGACGCTCTTAAATGACTTGTGTGGAGACTTGGAGACTGTGCTTTGCTAAACAAGCTGGACAGAAGTACAGCTTCGGTAATTATAGACCGTTTGACTCTTTGGATATTTGATACAATCAGAGGTGCTCAAAAAGGAACATAATAAGCAGCGCTGAGCTGAAACCAGAATGTCCTAACAGAGTGACCTCTACCGTATTGATGTGTCTGCATACATCTCACGGTGAGATCAGCAAATGGAATATGGACCGCAGGTGGAGAAAACAGAATAAATTGCTCCCTTTAAATAATAATCATGTCATGTTTTGTCTGACAATGATAGCCGAGAGAGAAAATTTAGTGGCAGAGAAGACTGCTTACCTCTGCAGTGTTTCTGCCAATCAGTACAGCAGTTAATCAGGCCATTCGACTGATTACAGACTGTGCCAGGAGAGCTAAAAGGAAACTACAGGAATCAGAACAGGCTAGAAACAGCAACACACTGACATGACAGAGACGGATAGAGTCAACAAAAGTCCTCACAATGATGACTCATGCTGGGCAGCCTCTGGATCAGCCCGCCCAACCAACAATATGGACCGTGGTGCTGCATATTTAGCATTTCGCAGACTATGTTGTCAGATGATATCATACAAGATATTTCATCAGCATCAACACGTTTTGTTTAGATCTTTGGGTGAAAACATGAGGATGCCTACAATGATAAAGAGTGAACGGATGAATAACGTGCTCCAGGTCAGCTTGCAAAACAACTGACCAGGGCCAACTCTACAATAAAGAAATGTTAAGTGCGTAACGACTATATAAACACAGCCTGGCAGTCAACCTCCAGCGAATGAATGGCAGCCCAGGAAACAATAAGTGCTTATTTTAAGTGAGTTGTCAATGCTTCTCATTGAGGTCTCAACCCAACAGGCCCGGGTAAACAGCATGCGGGCCAAAGTCCGGCTCATTCAGTAACTCTGGGACAAGTACTTGCAAGCTCACGACCTTTCATGCCAGTCATGGACTTCTGAGCATGTAACTCCAATAATTACATGTCATTATTGCACTGGAGCACTGACACAAATACTTGACCTGTTGAAATGACAAACCTAAAACGCTGAGGAGAGCAGTGAGTGCACCTTTCAGAATGAGACAGACAGACAGACATAGGGTGTCTTTAAGAGGAAGGCAGGGTGTACACAATGCTGCGTCTCAACAGAATTTTAGTGGGATTACCGCAGGATTATCACATGTGCATATGGCTCCTCACCACTTAAATAGATGGTGGTACCAACACATATACACATTGTTAGAGGAAGCCCAACGCAATGCAATACATCCTTTGGGTGGGTTGTGCAAATAAGAGAGGGTATCTATCTGTTAGTTATCTTTATATCATTAGACTGCTGGTTTAAGTAGTATATGACTTTATTACACTAATAAACCCCTTTTCCACAAGTAGCCTATTGGTTACTATACAAGATGCCATATCTTGCAGCACAAACTATCACAAATACCGTTATCTGACACAGAGGCGATGAACAGCAACATGTAGGTCGATCGGCAAAGTTATAATGCACATTCATCCCCAACTTTTCTATCGACATGAACTCCCAAAAACGGAAGAGGTGTCTCCCCCCCTTCTGTAACCAGTGTATAAAGAAATCAATCATTGGCGATGGCTTTGTTAGCCTTACGTTTACACGGAGCTATTGTTGCTCTCTGAGCTATTGGTGGCTATCGTTGCTCAGCGGAAGCCCTGGTTAAAAGTGCTCGTAAGAGCAAAGAACAAGAGAGTTGTTTATCTCAGCTGATTAAAATGGGAAGTAATGTCCAAATGTGTAGCGACAGCCTGGCGAGGGGAGTCCTATTCACCACAGTAATTAGTAGCATATCCTAGGAGGCTAAGCTACCTCTGCTGTGTCGCTTTGACTTCAACGTTACCCCTCGGAAACAGATATCTACTCAGAGCAAGATGCGATGCAACTGTTGAAAAGAAAGCGCTCATCATATTTACCGGAAAGTGGAGAGCTTCGAGGACATTATAGCATTCGTATAACCTCGTAGTTTAGTCGGTACTCCGACCCAAGTTGTCCCTGGCAGGGAGAGAGAGAGGGAGAGAAAAAAATGCAGCTCAACACCTTCTTTTTTCCAACTCTGCTCATTACGCACGGCTCGACGTCAACGTCCACATTTGATCCCTAATATGCGATCGTTTCCACTTGCATCGACTTTCCGGGGAATTTGCAGCGTTTATCTTGACTATAAACTAAACCTACACCGTTTTTATTCTCGGTTCGGTTCGGTATTTCCCCATAGTAGCACGACGCCTAGTTGGGTGGTTGTTATGGCCTATCCCAACGCTAACCGTTTCAAGCTAGCGAGATCAATACGCGTAGCTTCCGGTCGTGACTTTCAAAATAAAAAGATTGAATATTACATTTCTTCATTTGTACACTAGAAGACATGTCTGATAAATGCTGTTTCAACTACACGTTCAGCATTCTTTATCGAAAAGTCCTTTCAACAAAGAGCTGATGGAAAATCGCGAAAATACTGTTCACATTAGATGATGTTAGCGTGTCTGCGTCGCTCCTTTAGTTTGGAAGCGAAAGGACGTTCTTTCTTGTATTTTGCTAGCTTGTCAGGTTCTCAATGCTGTACGCCGACTGGCCAAGAGGCCCATCAGTACTCCGAGCAATGTATGCAATAATACAGTTGCTAGCGCCCTCTAGTTGTTTGTTTGTGGCAGTGGGGATTATGAGAGCTTCATGCCATCAACATTATAGACGAGAATGTCAGTAATTTGACAGAGAGGGCTAAATAACTAGTTACGATGTGTACATAAGTGATTCATTTTCATTCATAACTTGTATCTCCTTCATAGAGGTCTGCTGCGTGGGGTTACTACGATGTAACGTTTGGCTATAACACGAATTTAGGTCATTAAAATCTATATCAAAGCTTTAAACCATCTAATATATGTATATACTTTATGCAGCGGGGCGAACCCCATTACACTGCTTGAATTGGTATGATATCTATTGGAATGGCATCTGATTGAAGTTCTTTTAGCGTCCTGTTGATGGCGACACAATACGTGTAATGTAGGCCAAAACGTCTTTGGATAGCATATCTTTTTTATTGGACTCCAAGGTCATTTTTGCAGTTTTGATATAAACAGAATCCCTGATTTGTATACAATCAAAAGCCCCGTAAGACTTGTCATAATAACACAAGAATGGAATGACATTGAATAAGTAACAAGGAAAAACAAAAGTGAATGTGCCTCCTGTAAGAAAGTGTATTCTAACCGGGCAAAGCAAGGGAAATATGGGTCATTAATTCAGAGAATGGAGTGACACCATGTGTATATTGTGTTGTTTTATTGTAGGTAATAGGATAATAAAGGACTTTTAAATATATTTGGGTTGTTTTGTTGTCTTTCCGCCATGGATTGAGTTTGGTGTTATCCTGTAGAATAAATGTTGGCTCCGCTGCTGTTGACTAACTTAGATACAACATCTCAAAATAAAATTAGATTTAATACTTTATTCTAACGTATCCCCATTAGACTATACAGAGTTGATTTTATTTAGTTACTTTTACAGTCCCACAGACAAGGCCAAATTTTTTATCCTGATGAGAAGTTGATCTGTATGTTTACATGAGTGTCTTTGGAATGACTCCTCCCAGGGAATTAGATGAAAGTAGTGACTATCTGTCAGCATCTCACAGGATATGAGGAGGAATTTCCACAGAAACATTATCATTTTCTGTTAGAAGCAAGTGACTCTGTGAGGTGAAAGATGTTCTCCCTTCTTAGACCCACGCCGGACTGGTCCAGGTTGATGAAAGCCATTCAGCAAAATCACAGGTCAACCATCCACAGCAAGCCACCAAAGGAAAAGATTGGGCCAGTGGTAAGAACATCTTTATTAGTAGTTGTCTGGTAGAAGTTGAATGAGCTGACATCCCAGGTTGTTTGACGCTATAGATATGTACTACAACAGCAGGGATGTGTATACCTGTACTAACTTGGTGCTAAACTACAATGAATCAAATTGTAAGGACCATTATGACACGCAAAAAGTGCAACACTCTTGGGGAGTCGGTATCTGTGGTACTTCACTGTATTTCCCCTAATGCGAGGAATTCAAGCGAGCTGTGTTCCCCAGTCTGTAGAGTGGGAGAGATGTTTTATTCATTTGTTATCCATAAGTCAGTTTGAAGCTCTGGTCTCCGTAAATGGATCCTGTGATGGTACTGCAACATAGCGGCTGGTGTTTATGTCACTATGAATCTGTTGATCTGCCCTCAGGGACATACACAGGGGCTTTTACAAAGCCTGGCTCAGGTTAGGAATACCAGAGTGCAAAGGGACAAAGGGAATATCATGGCAGGACAATTCAAATGGGGGCTGCTGTTATATCACCTGGTGAGTCACTGAGATTGGGACCTTTTGTTGTGGACACAGGTGTTCAATATCCTCTTTTCAACATGTAGCTGTAGATAGGAGAGGTTTGGGAGCTATACTACACTATATGGTTTGTGTACTAAAAATATTTCCTCATGAAGTTATGCTTATGTTCTCATGGACTTTCTTACAGCAATCTCTCTTTGCCATGTTTGTGTTTGCTGTAACACTCTTGGCCCCGGCTGGATGGATCATGCATCACATCCCAGTCTACCAGCAGAGATCACCTCCACAATCCTGACTTCTTAAAAAATCTGCACTCATGGAGACACCCATGCACTGTGTTATTGTGTTTTCCAATGTGCAAAATGTTGTGAAGGTAAAACTTGACGATGCAACTGTTTTCCTGTATAAAGACGTTGATATGATATCTGCTCTGGTATGTTTTATTTCTAACTAATTTTTCTAAATAATTAAAACAGGCTGATTTGTTGACTGATCTGATTACTGTAATGTTTGGAAAATGCTTAATATTTGCCTTGATGTTTGAGCATAAACAGTATAGAAGCAGAGGGGTCATTCCAGGGTGTTGTTCCCAATCAACTGGAGATGTGATGGAAATATTCCAACAGTTCTTGGCAGAAACTGTAATGGGAAGGGTCTGTAAGTGGTCCAGACCCTGGAGTCTGTTTATCCTTCACTTGTATTTTGCTCTGTGAAAATTGTAAAGAAGAACTTTAGGCTCAAAAAATGGCATATATGTACATTTGTAGATAAAAAACTAATAATGGGGATATGTTTAGCCTAATGACTGATCAATATTTACTTCTTAAATTAGGAAGAAAGCAAACATTTAAATTAAAATATTGTAAAACACGTAAACAAAACTATTTGAAGATATAAATATTCCTCCAGGACATGTCATGCTGGTGGTCATGACAATGTGACAACCATCTGTTGCACGTTTTATTTTATTTTAAATGCAGCATATACAAAAGTGAGCGTGCATATCTAGGCAAATTCACTGATTTCCTTGGTATTTCTCTCCTATTTGCTAATCAGTTCAAATATAGGACTGATACGGTTGTTGGAAATCTTGAATGACAATTTGTCAAAGGTGGATCAGTCCATTTAGAAAGGTGTGCTGTGGCGGATGTACATCAACATTCCTCTCCGACACGAAAGAATAGCATTCTTAAAATTTAAATCACACTCACAAAATTGGCTCTTCGTTTTATTTCGGCTAAAAGCGACCGCACCACCGCTAAAAAGCCACAGTATATTAATCCATCGCGCAGAGTGGTACAATCATCCGAGCCTGGGCTGTAAGGGGGGTATATTCACTTTTTCACGACTGAGGGAAACACAACGCCGGGGAGGGAAAAAAAAACACTAAAACAATTGACAGTCTGGGTTTTATGTCTCCTCAAGTGTCTACGAAATGTCTACGAAGGCAGAGCAGTGTAAGTACGGCTGTGTGTGTGTGTTTTTCCTGTCTTGTCATGGGGGTTTGAGCACTGGGAATGTGATTTTTGTTTTAAGAAAGCGAATGAGGGGAGCTGTCCTTGGTGATAAAACCGCGGTTGCCATGGCAGGTTGCAACACGTCCTCTCACTGCAGAGTATGGCTGGAGGGCTCAGCGTATACACGGGGAGCCGCTGTGTATTTCTCTGCATGTTAAGGGAAAAACAATTGAATGGCTACATCGTCATATTATCTTTTTTTTTTTTTGATTGACGTGGCTGGATGAGGCGCGTGCAAAAAAGCGAGGTGTGCTGCTGGTCTCAAGGTCGACCTGACAGATTATTTACTGCACAATATGGTGGTGTAAGATTGATCGATAATGGGGTTTGATCACACCGTCCTGATGGCGGTTCTTAATTTTCTCCTCGTTCTTCCGATTGCTTTTGAACAGGTGGAAAGCAGCCTCTGCCTCCAGACTCTATTCCATGTTACTGACTGATCTCTGCACAATTTTAATCAGATTCTGCGCGATTTAAGTATGTAACAGGCATACAATATGGGTTTCAAACTTGGTGTTTGAGGCTTCATTTATAATTAGCTTAAAGTTGTGTGTGACTGATGTTGTTTAGTGGTAAATATATGGAAGAATTAATCAGGCTGGTATCAGAAAAAAACAACAGAAAACAACAAATTGGCAGCTGTTATCTCCATATATATATATATATATAAATGTATTACTGTGTTTATTCATGAAAATGTCCCTCAACATGTTTAGATTTAAGAAGAGAGAAGCTGGTGTACGACTGTATGTTTTGCAACACAGGCTTTGACCACACAAAGCCTGCGGCTGTTATTTTTATTTTGGGGTTTGTCATACAGGTCAGGGAGGGAGCTAAACACCACTGCCCAAAGTCACAGGAAATGGGTCAGCAGTCACCCACTCCAACTTCATTGGACTCTTATTTAACCAGGCAAAAAAAACACAGTCATATCTTTAACAGTAACGTGAGGACGATGTTACACCGAAGGGGTCACTGCTGAAATGTCTCTCTGTATCATCTGCTAAGAGATGAGTAAGCCCTCTCTCGTGTCTCATGCTGACTGCATTTTCCCAGCTTGTCTTGGGACTTGAACCGGCAACCTTTTGTACATGAGCGTGTTTCTGTAAGCAATAGGTTGCTGCGTCCTCAAGGGTTTCCCGTGACCTCGCTGCTGTACCAAAAAGGTCACCTGCTGAAGGCCAGAGAGCCATGAGAACACAGACTCTTTGTTTAACTTGATAATTGGAGCATCTGCTTTACAGTACATGCTGTCTTACATGAATCTTAACCCAGAAACAACAACAGAAACACAGCTTTATGCCTCTTCTACCATTTGCCTTATCTGTGTACTCAGATTCAAATGATACTCTTGTGTTGATTTGCTTGTTACTCTGCTCTTTATTTTGTCTAGTTGCCTCTAAGATACGATACTTGCAAGAGTATCACAACCGTGTGCAGCACAATATTTATCCTGTGCCCTCCGGAACAGACATTGCAAACACACTGAAATACTTTTCCCAAACTCTGCTCAGGTAAGTACCCTGCTCTGGGGCCAACAGGTGAAGTAACAGACTCTAGAATGTGTGATATCTAGCTTCCTTCTGGATCAGACAGGTTAACTTACAGCAGGTTGACACGCTCCCTGAGAGGGATGACAGTGATATCATTAAATGGCTAATATGAATTTAGTATGTCAAGAAGAAGTAAGGGAAGTGGCCAACTCCGACTGCTTTGCCTGCACTGCTTTTAAAGATAAAAGAAGATGGAGCAGATATCATCGTGTTGTTTTGAAGCAGCTGCAGATTTATTGATTCAGTGGTCGCCTGCTAAATGAACGCTTCCTTGGGACGGCCTGTTGTGTCCTTCCCAGAAGGGGGCTGTTGGAGGGCAGCTCCTCGGGCTCTGCAGTTGCAGGGTCAGCCTACTCCCTTGGGTGCTGTGAAAGCCAGAGGAAGGAACAGCATGTTATTTCCTCCTCCAACACGGGTCAAGTAGGCAGCCATTTTGGACACATCTTATTTCACAATGTGTCATGTCCCTGTTTTTCCAGCTGGAGCTTCTTAACATAGGAAAGTAAACTGCAGTGACAGTCTTAAGGTTGGTTTAATCTTACTCCCTGCTGGCATCACAGAAAATATTACTGCTGTCCAAATGTATTAGCTAATTTACAAAAAGGATGGGATTACTAAAGATTGAAGTTGTATGTCCCACTTTTATCATTATTTTCAGCTTAGGGTGCAATCTATTTGAGATTGGCAGCCGGCCTCAATTCTACACTTTATGCCTCAGCCCCACAAGGATTATTCCTCTGTTGAGTGATGCTCACAGAGTGGTTACTTTGTGCTTAGCCTTTGCTGAAGGGCTGTCCGGCACCAGCAGCCACTGTGCTGTTTTAAACATGGCCTCTCGTGTGTCTTTCGCACAGATGGATAATGATGGGGGGCTGCAACTGTGGGAATCACTTTGATTCAAGTGACGATTTTGTCTCTGAGGGGCAGCGACTCGCTATGATGCCACTGTTAACAGTTGCATGATATTTTCCCGAAGCAGAGCCTCTTAGTCTCAGATATGCAGAACAAGTAATTCCCCCCACTATTAGAGGGGTCTGGTTTCCTCAGCGGGGACTGCAGGATTATCCATACACCTGTGCCTTCTGAAGCCCGGGGTGAAAAAAGAGAGAACAATTAAAAAGAATGAGAGGGAGAAAGTGGGAGTAGTGAGCCTTGAAAAGTGGAGCAGACATGTGTCATGTTCCTGGGAAGAAAAACTGAAATGGCTAAAGGAGGTGGTTGCTGATTCATACACCAATTTTAGGTTCAGGTCAGATGTAGAACAGAAAACAAAGAAAGGTTAACATCTTCTGTTTACTGACAATCACATATGCCTCCTATAAAATGAGGCGTAGTCTTTTCCTATTTCTGCAAGTCATATTGAGCTCTCTGCATCAGTGAGCCATGCTGACTTCATGCCAAACTGTATCTCTCTGAGAAGAATGACTGCAGGGAGCAGAAACCATATTTACTTTTGTTTAGTCATGATATTCTCTAATTCTGTACATTTATGAAGTCTGATTGTTCTTTGGATTACTGCTACATAGTCAATGATTTTGTATTGACAGCGCAGGGTTTGACAGTCAATGTATGTCATGTGTCTGTATCAGTGCATTTCTACATGTGTTTTATGTGTCGTACATGTTTGTAATTTTTCGTGTTGTTTGTACGTACGTGTGTATGTATGCACATACGTGTGTCTCTTTGTGTGTAAATGTTCAGTGTATGCGTGTGAGCGTGTCTGTTGATCTCTATGTTCATTGTTCAAAATAATGATGTTTTCTATATGAGAAATTGGCAGTGAAAAAGTCATACTCTGAGATACAGTCTGTTGTTTTGAATCAGTCCTGTTTGAGTTTACGCTGTGCAATGCACAGCTTTATGAATGAATCTACGCTGACTAAAATCTTACAGAGTATAACTTTGAGGGGATCATTCAGAAAATGTTACATTCTGCTGTTGACAGTATGAACTGTTAAGCGACATGCTCAACATTATGTATCTAATGTTATGTTAACCAATTTTGAAATCCCCTTTCTCACTTGCCGAGAATGCTGTAACTCTACTTTTTGAGTGACCTTTCAAAATAAAAGAAATAAATAAACAATACATCAGCATTTATAAGCTGGGCTCTCTTGATAAATCCCAATCATTTGCCTGATAGAACAGCTTAGCTCTTTAATAATGTGCAGTAAAAAGAGCAATGCTCTCTGGCCCCCCCTTCCCCCATCCTCACCCTAGATGCTCCACACTCAACCCAACTAGTTTTTCCTTTTGTTTTTCCTCTCTTAAAATGTAATATGTCCACCACCTTCCCCAGGGGACAGCAAACACAATTGTCCATCCTGCATTAGCTCACAAACATAATGCTACCAGTCATCTCCCCCTGAAACAACCTATTCCTTTGTCATTATAGTTTCTCCTCTACCGTAGATTAGTTGTTACATTTATTTTAGAAACCTGAATCCATATGCCTGTTGGATCTCATTATTTCTCCTGATGATACTGGTACAGTATCATAACGTATGCACATGGACATTATTTCTCTGGTGCAATAAACATGTGCTGTGACCTAGGAGCACTTGATCTAACCTCACACACATGTTTATTACTGGCTGAAGCATGTTTCAAAAGTGTCACCTCTGTATTTTCCCGAACCAATTTGGTGTCACTCCCATCCTTGACAGCCCCACTAAAGACAAGGAAATTTCTTTTTTTAATTTCTTTTATTCCACGGCTCATTGGCCTTTTTGCATGGTAGCCTCTGACCTTGCTGATTGGAAGATGGCAGCCATCGAGGGACAGTCGTTTGCACTGTGCCTTTTTGGAGAAGTATGGGGTTGCCACTGAAAACATGCCATTTTTTATATTTTTGCTCCTTGTCACCAGATACGCATGAGATGCAGTGATCATTGCAGTTTGTGCTCATGTTTTTTTTGTTTTCCAAGTGCAAAGATAGACAAAACGAGATAAATTGAATCAAAGTCACTCTGAACAGACAAAGCAGGGAAAAATTGCCCGTGCCTTCAGTGATACAGTCAAATAGTGAGACACTGCATCCTATGTGGGGTTTATCTGGGTTTGTTTTTTTCTATTTACGCTGTCTCTGTAGTGCCATTTCAATGTAATGTGCTGTTTTTTTGTGTCTTTGTTGTCTCTTTTTTTCCCTTGTTCCCCTCCCCTACCCTCCCTCCCCTCCCCTCCCGCCCCGGAGCAGCATTCTGTCCCGCACAGGCAGGAAGGAGAACCAGGAAGCTTCCAATTTGGCCGTGCCCATGACCATGTGTCTTTTTCCTGTGCCATTCCCACTCACCCCATCTCTAAGACCACAAGTCAGTTCCATCAACCCTTCAGTTACTCGCTCCCTCCTTTACAGCGTTCTGCGCGATGCCCCGTCAGACCGCGGGGGGCAGGGGCAGCAGAGTCGGGACGCTCAGCTCTCAGAGTACCCCTCTCTGGACTATCAGGGCCTCTATGTGACCCTCGTGACCCTGCTTGACCTGGTGCCCCTGCTGCAGCACGGTCAGCATGGTGAGTCAAGGCCCAGTGCACCACTGTTTGTCATCATCATCCCCGAGCCGTCTGGCCTGCATGAAGCCACTGCTGCTTTTTTGGCCTCTTTTGTAACTGGAGGAGAGAAGTCCTGCTGAGGATCTTGAGGGATGCATGGGGTGATTGGGAGCACGCTGGATCCTGTCAACTTAATCGTTCATAAGCTATTGGATATACCAGACATAGGCCTTCTCTTCTGTGTATCATATTTGACTGCATGTTTGTTATGTAAAGTGGGAGAAATGTTTTACTGATGATGCCATGTGCAAATATACAAGTTAAATGGAAAACGCACATTGGCAAAATGTAATGTTTTATTTTTTTCAATACATTTAGAATACATCTGAGAATGACTTATTTCCACACTGTTTTTTTCACGGGCTAAAGGCTGCATCACAGTCAGTGCTCTTGTTTTTCATGAATATTTTACCACTGTTAAAAAAAGCTCAAAAGCATGAAAACCCATCTTCTTGACGAGAATGCTCTACTTTTCCTTAAGGCAAATTGTACCTCAGTGGCTTTTAAAGAAAGCTCACTGCCCTCAGCTAAAGTTCATATTCTAAATGTTCTCTTTTTTACTGTTATTGCTGTTATAATATATAAAATATGAAATGTCTGAAATTTCATGTAAATTTGCCATCTGTGGCTGCATACAGTATGTGAGTACTGTATGTACTGTTAATTGAATGAGTGTCTGTGTATCTCTCTTTGTCTTTTTTTTTGCCTTTTCTCTTTTTCATCAGATCTGGGACAGTCCATATTTTACACAACAACATGCCTCCTGCCCTTTCTCAGTGATGATATACTCAGCACTTTGCCCTATACTATGATCTCCACTTTAGCCACATTTCCCCCTTTCCTCCATAAAGACATCATTGAGTACCTGAGCACCTCTTTCCTCCCCATGGCTATATGTGAGTATGACAATTTTGACAACTAATTCACTTTTCGTTATAACAAAACCGTACCTTTATGTTGGAATAATTGGTGATTTATGAAATGTATAAAAGTCATTTCATTTATTAAATGGTATTTCATTTATAAATAAAAAAGCAAAGTCAATCTTTCTCTTGCTTGCTTGCTGTAGTGGGCTCCACTCGGAGGGAGGGGGGAGTCCCTGCCTATGTCAATCTGTCTGCCTCCTCTATGCTAATGATTGCAATGCAGTACACCACAAATCCAGGTAAACCACCATATTGGCTGCTTTCACAGCATACACGCAAATATAAATAACACTGTGGTGTTGTGTATGGTTCTCTTTTTAAGCTGGCTTCTTCTTCTTTCCAGTGTATCACTGTCAATTGTTGGAGTGTCTAATGAAGCACAAACAGGAAGTGTGGAAGGTAGGCTACGGATATGAGGTCTTTTGTGTAAAAAACAATGAAAGATTTTTTTATAGTTTTATGTAAGTCAAACATTTACAACGTGTTGACAATATAACACAACATATACTTACCATGTTTTAAAGATTATTGTATTGTAGCCCCTCATTAAACTATATTGACTTTTTTATGTCATTGTTTATTTATAATGTTCATGTGCCTTTTTTACATTTAATCTAATTTATTTACTTTTCATATTTCATTTGATTGTCATTCATCTTTTATAAACTGGAATTGTGCTAGATTTGTGCTGAATGTCTGTTAGATCACAATCTTTAATAAATAAAAATAAAACTAGACAAATAAGCAACTACCAGTTGCTATTAGAAATTAAAAATTTCCTCCAGCTTGAATTTGTTTATGTATTTCACTTTGGAAACATGCACTGTATGGCCTAAAAATACTATTTTCAAAATGCTGTATTACTCTCTTGAATCCTTTTTAGGGGAAAAATACTTTGACATTAGCGGAACTATGCTCATTAGCTTTCTTGCTGAGAGAGAAGATCAGTGCCACTTGGCTAGCTAGAGCAAGAGGACGGTTAACTTAGTCTAAATCTTGAACAATGGACATTGGGCAACATTTAGTCTTTACAAAATTGGTATATATAGCATACTAGAATGAAAACCTTCAACTAGTTGGCATTTGTTAGCATGCAAATACCTTCAAATATCATTGCACTTTGTAATTACTGTTGGTACTGTTTAAACTGTGTGCAGGACCTTCTGTATGTCATATCTTATGGCCCATCCCAAGTAAAGCCTCCAGCTGTGCAGATGCTGTTTCATTACTGGCCCAACCTGAAGCCACCAGGAGCCATTAGTGAATATAGAGGGCTTCAGTACACAGGTAAGGTTCTCTTAGTGTCACATCTGCTGCTTGATCTGCCCTTGAACTGACTAAAGGTCTAACACGTCCCCAATGTTTCTTCTTTTCTCCTCCCCTACTGCAACTCTTCAGCCTGGAACCCCATCCACTGTCAACATATCGAATGCCACAATGCTATCAATAAACCTGCAGTCAAGGTGACTTCAGTCTTAAAAAACCTGTTAAACAACCCTTAAACATTAACTATTGCATCACAGGTACATGGTTGTTGGATCCCACAACCCTTTATTACATGATTACTGTAAGAAGTTAGATTAGCATCACACTCTGCTTTCAAAAGCTGCTTGCCTTGAGAATATCTTTGGGAAGGCACGGAGCATGTGCCACATTGCTTTGCCGAGTTCAACCGCGCGTGTCAGTGTGTTTGCTTTTGTGAGCCCCCTTGGTAAATAAATCAGTGCATGCCTGGGCAGCTGTGGGAGTGGGGTAATGATATCAGCTTCTATGCTACTTTACAACAGCCTCTGCTGTTGCTGCTCTGCTTTATCAGCTCCACCTGCTTTTATTCACGATGCTCAAAACCGACATATAGACTAGGAACAGGGGCATTGACAGATTTCAATTACCAGGAGCAGGGAGGGGGTACAGAGGGAGGGGAGCTTAATTGGAAGCCGTGACCCTGTGCAGCCCTTGAGGATAGGGTGGCATCAAGTGAGCACAGTAAATCACAGTGCACCATCTGAACATTGAGGCCATGAGCATTGAGGTTTAGCACAGGGCCAGGCACAGGTTGCAGGAGAACAGAGTGCAACATATGCACGCAGCCATCCACGCAGAGGCGTGGGGAGACAGGTATAGCTGTCACATGACTTCTTGGGCAATACCATGATAAAGTACCATTGGAGAGTACTATGTGAGAGGGACAAATGGAAAAGGCTTGCATTCTGAACAATGTGACCGGACGCAGTAGGACATTCTGGTATTTTTGGCATAATGCATTTGACATACTATGTATTGGGACATACTACTTTTTTTCTGGTATACTAAATAGTATGGTAGTATGGGTATTGGAAGGTACAGGTAATGTATGATATGTTTTATTCCACTTCAATTGGTGGCTATGTGAAAATGACCAAACCATTAACGAGGTTTAGCTTCGAATATACCATCTTAAACGTTGTCATGAGTCTTTGGTTAATATATTGTACCAATTCCATGGAGTTATATTGCTTTTTTAAAAGTAATGCATAATGTTCAGTCCCCCTCCACACCCTGACGGTTCTTGTACAGTCCCTAAATGTGCAGAAATAGTTTTCTTTCCCTCTTGTTTGTATGAAAATAAAACATCAAAATACCAGTATGTTCATCCATATTCTAACACTACCTGTCTTACTTTGCAGATGTGTATAGATCCTACTCTTTCCGTTGCCCTGGGAGACAAGCCCCCCCCTCTTTATATATGCGAGGAGTGCAGCCAGAGGATAGCAGGGTATGCATCTGTTTCACCCCCCCCCCCCCCCCCCCGGATCCTCCCCCTCCTTAAATACAATGCCATTCAACACATACATCACCTATACTCCGTGCCTCATTGTTCATCTTTAATCCAGGGGTAATGCATCGCCATGGTTACGTAATTCCCTTGCGCTGATAATGAGATCGTCATCACGAAACCACACAGCCACTTGTTTGTCTTTTCTCTAGTGTTTAGCATGTAATAATTGCGTGACTCTGCAGTGTCACTTGATATTGAGCGAAGGTGTATTTGTGCCCCAGCTCTGTTAGGAAGTTGAGACTGCTGTGTTTACACTAGGTGGGTTTATATACAGGCTCAGAGGAGCAGTTTGCCTATACATCACGCATTGTTCATACATTTCTTTCACCTTTTCAGAGACCACGCTCAATGGCTTGTTGACGTACTCCTGCCCCAAGGTGAGTGTTCACAAACAAAGAGTTGTTTGATTGTCTCTCAGTCTGTCTTGCTCCCCACAGACAATGAGACATACAGTAAATGGGACATACATGGAATATATTCAGTATAATCTACAATTTCCAGGTTTTTAGCATACATATATTAGACAGAAGGTTAGTATAGGTACCCATATTTGTTCCTTTACTTTGATTATGTTTATAGCTATAGTTACATCTGATACGCACAGTCTAGTCATCTGAAGACTTAAAAAGAGGTTTCTATTAAAACGTGATTCATTTAAAAAGCTACTTCTGTTGTGTGCAAACTAATAATAATAATAGCTAATAATTCAAACTTAATTTGTCTTTGCAGCAGAGATATCTGCCATTTGTCAAAAAAAGGTAAGACTCTCTCATTTGCTCATTTTTATTCTGATCCATCCCATTACAGCATGATGTCATATTGAACATTATCCAATGCTTCTCCATATTGAGGAAAAATAAACCTTTGCAGTGATTTGTTGTTACTGATTACCCTCACTCACCTTCAACTTCACATACAAACACAAATCAAACAGAACACGTGCTCTAAATGGTTTTTATCACTCAAAACAGAAACAAATCATGGAATCCATTGTTACCTGTGATACATAGCAAGGTCATTTATTTATGAACCTGACATGTTCTCTTCATTGAGAAGTCCGAGCAGCTCGGTAAAGACCACATCATTTCAAATGAAGCTGCTGGGGCGTGATTGTTTGTTTGCTGTTGTTGAACGCACTGCTGAGGGCAAGTGCTCCCTGAGGGTTTCCAGGGAGACAGAAGTAAAACTGTGTGAGATGATCTCAGGTATATTCCCGTCAGGCTGAGCAGCCGCCGCCGCCGCCGCCGCCGCCGTGTTGTCGGTGGAAACAGCTGGCCTCCATCCTGGTTTGTCCAGCAGTTTATAATCCACAGCCTCCCTTTCTGATCAGGCTTTGTCACACTCATTTTAGAAAGCCCTTTCAACTCCCAACTGGATTTACACCAGCTCAGTCATCTTCATCTGAGAATAGCTACTTATAAATACACCATGACACCCAAGATAGAACATACTGTAAACAGCAACAGCGTCAGTAATATTAGGGAGGTGTTTTTTTGTTGTTGAAAGCAGGGTGGGTGAGAGAAGTCATCATCAGAGGACAGCTATGTTAATTTGATAGGGTGCACTGCATCCCTCTAATGGCACAAGATTAGAGGCTGATCAGATTAGGATGGCTCTCCAGGGCCATGCCTTTTATTTTTAGAAACCTGAGACACCGTTGGGATACATAAAGACTTTTTCTATCACTCTAGATGTGGACAGATTAACATCCCTAAACAAACGCACATCGGAGAGAGAGGACGATATTCAAAGTCAGAGCAGTTAGCTGCTTTTGAAAGGCTTGGAAATATGTTTATTTTTAGAGGCTTGTCATGATGCATTGTTGGCTGATTTACTGTGATGGTGGCATATTTTTATTTCATTGCCTACTGATCTCCTCCTCCTCCTCCTCCTCCTCTCTCTTTCGTGTCTTTGTAGAACTGCAGCTCTCATGTCAGGAGGGCCGTGGTCACCTGCTTCTCGGCTGGCTGCTGTGGGCGCCATGGCAACCGGCCTGTCCGCTACTGCAAGCGTTGCCATGTCAACCACCACAGCAGCGAGGTGGGGGCTGCGGCGGAGACCCATCTGTACCAGACCTCGCCCCCCCCCCATCAACACCCGGGAGTGCGGCGCGGAGGAGCTAGTGTGCACCGTGGAAGCCGTTATAAGGTACATCCACAGTGTTTACACTCACATGTCACAGCCACAGTCACAGGGCATATGAAATGAGATTATAAATGTCTATGCCATGTCAGGATGTTTGTGTTTTCAGCATCTTCTCCATCAATATGACTCTCTTATGTCTTCTCTCCTCCTCTCTGAATCCTATGTAATCCTCTCCATATCCATCCAGCCTTCTCAAGGAGGCCGAAATTCACGCAGAACAGCGTGAGTTTGAGATGAACAGACGTCGTCAGATGGGCCTGTCCGCCTCCCACCACTCTCTGGACAACATCGAGTTTGACAACAAGGAGGACGACCAGCACGACCAGCGGCTCCTCAGTCAGTTTGGCATCTGGTTCCTGGTGTGTAATCAATAACAGGGAGTCGTGAGATAACGATGTTTACAGTGCACGGCCTGTTATCACTACCTCGTTAAATTTATGGTTATCTGACTGATTAGTTTACATCTCTGACATCTGCAGGTGAGCCTGTGCACACCCAATGAAAACACACCGACAGAGAGTCTGGCTCGGCTGGTCAGCATGATCTTCCAGTGGTTTCACTCCACCGCCTACATGATGGACGATGAGGTCGGAAGCCTGGTGGAGAAGCTAAAGCCTCAGTTTGTCACCAAGTGGCTAAAGACAGTGTGTGAAGTGCGATTTGACGTCATGGTCATGTGTCTGCTGCCCAAGCCTGTTGAGTTTGCCAGGGTAAGATTATAGAGGATGTGCAGGGTGCTGATGAGGGTGGGAAAAGGTTATATTCAGAAAGCACAACTAACATGAACATTATAACTGCAAATATCCAGCCAATGCACATCCAAACTTCTGTTTATCTCAGCCATAGCACTTGTGACATTTTTAATGAATTTCATTCAATCATCATGTCACTGAGGGCTGAGATTTATTAAAATGATGAAGGGGAAGATCATCATCTCTTGGCTATGTCTGATCTAAGCCAGTCCGTTCACACTTCTTCCCAGGTGGGAGGTTACTGGGACAAGTCATGTAACACAGTGACCCAGCTGAAGGAGGGCCTGAACCGCATCCTGTGTCTGATACCTTACAATGTCATCAGTCAGCCACTGTGGGAGTGCTTTATGCCTGAGTGGCTGGAGTCCATCCGCACCGAGGTGCCCGACCACCAGCTCAAAGAGTTCCGGGAAGTGCTCAGGTACATCCACAACCTCAGTGTTTGCAAATTGTAGCTGTTATTCTTGTACTAAAGACATTTGTTATTTCAAATAAGCATGGGTGAGGGTGATACAATATTTCCTTATGAGTTACTTGTATTTTTCTTATTCCTGGATATGACTGGCCAAATGCACACAACATGACATGATGTCAAGATATTTACAGTGCAGCTACAATACACTCTGATAGCGGATATGTTTTTTTCGTTGTCCAAACATTGAAGATGAATGATTGGTGTCATTCCACAGAATCAGCGAAAGAAGGCCCTTTTCCAAAAATGCTACTTTCGACCTCAATGGTCTATAAAGCCCATTACTGGCTTTAACAGTGCGGGAAATCTCTGGCTAAAGAGGTGGTATCTTCCACCTATGTATCATTCTAGAAAATGTCTGCATAAATGAAATCACTCGCTGACGGAGAGCTAAAACACAGGCAGTGTGTGGACCACACAACTTTAAAAATGAAGCTGAACTGAACTGAAACTCACTGATTGTGAAACAGTATCCAAGGAACATAATATTGTGCTCTGCCTTCTGCTTACAGTAAGATGTTTGATATTGAGCTGTGCCCCCTGCCCTTCTCCATGGAAGAAATGTTTGGCTTCATCAGCTGCAGATTCTCTGGCTACCCAGCATCTGTGCAAGAGCAGGCTCTGCTGTGGCTGCATGTAAGCAAGCATAAACACACATTCACACACACACACTGCCTCATGTCCAGTTCACAGCCTACGGTTCTGTCAACAGTGCGTGTGAATTGAACAGGTTATCATAGAGTGTGAGAGTCTAGGCAGGGGCCCTGCTGAATATGGATCTGGGTCACCAAATGAGACTGAGAGAGATAGGAGGGATTTAGCTTTTCATCCCATATGCACTCACAGCTTGCTGCCCTGTATACATGGATCAATTTCAAGTTTTCTGTCGCAACCGTGATCAAGAGATGCTTTGATTTACCCACATTAAATAGGTCACATTCAAGAAGTGGTGAAAAATGTTACTCTGTAAATCTTATACCCATATCTCTGCTTTAGTAACTTTACAGATTATAGTATATTGTATACCCTTCCTGTCCAGTGAAAACCATGTATCACCAGATGACAAACTGTTTATGATAAACTGAAGGATGAACTAGTCCTTTGTGGGTCGAAAAAATTCTTCTTAAGCTAAATAAACTATTTCGAAATCTTCTTGGATCAGGTGGAAAATGTATTGTTAAAAAGCAGAAAACAGAGCCGTTTTTCTGAGCTCATGAAAAGTGTATTCAGTTTCTAAAACTTAAGGAAAGGATCTGAACACGTCTTTCACCACGGCAGATATTTTATCACTGGAAATAATATCAAAACTGTCTGCATAATATGTGAAAAAATATTTATTTGTAACTAGTGTGAATAGACCCTTTACTTTTTTTTGTGTGTCTTGATTGGACGCAGGTGCTGTCAGAGCTGGACATCGTGGTGCCTCTTCAGCTGCTGATCGGGATGTTCTCTGATGGTGTGAACTCTTTGAAAGAGCTGGCCAATCAGAGAAAGGCACGCGCCTCAGATCTGACTGGCAACACTGGGGCTCGCAGGGTGAGGGAGACAGTTGGGCCAAAACTATTCCGCAAAAAATAAAAGATATAATAATAATAATAAGAAGAAGAAGAAGAAGAAACAAAAACATACATAACCAGCATGGCAGGTTAAAAGCAGATTTAAATAGGTGAGTTTTAGGTGCTGGGGGAGAGAGTTCCAGAGGGAGGGGGCAGCAATAGAGAAGGCCCTGAACCCTGTGAGGGTTCAAACTCATTTTCATTTATTTTAGTTAGTTTAGCTGCAGACTCAGTTATAAGCCAGGATTTATAGTATATTTAAAAAAAACACTTCACTCAACTCAAAACATCACCTGATTCAATGTGTGTGAGAGCTTTCTTTTGGGCTATTTTTGTGTCAGATACCTCTTTAGGATTATGACACATTTCTATTCTTCTTTGCTTCTATTTTATACCATTCATTGGGTTGGACTGTGTGTTGCCATGGTAACTGCCAATGTCTAAATATAGCTTCCTTAAAGGGCTTAATTGAACTTGACTGTGATGCAGATCTATCATTGAAATTTATAGCTGAGCGACTCTGCACTCATGTGTTATTATGAATGACTGGGGGGACGTTGGGGATTAAAAGTCTGTCGGAGGCATAAATGGTTTGAGTTTCAAGTGAAACACATGAAACTATACTTTACTTTAGCGATGTGCTCTTTGCCTGTAGGTGAGCGTGGTGTCAGATCCAGGACGCCGTGGGCAGCACAACACCCTCAGTCCGTTCCCCAGCCCCTTCAGGAGCCCGTTCCGCAGCCCCCTGCGCTGCAGCCCCTTTAAAAACCTGGGTCACGCCACCGGCCACTGCGCTCTGGATCTGGACTGTGACGATGATGACATGAACCTCGGCTGCTTCATCCTAATGTTTGACCTCATCCTAAAGCAGGTAACCACACAGAAATAAGAACAATCATATTCCTAGAGGGACTACTCTAAAAATATGATTATTATCTATTGTTAATATATGAATGGGAGTAAAAAAACGTCTTTTTACAAACAGTATCTTATTACGTATTACTTATTCGTATTACTAAATATCTGCCAAGGATGAACACCGAAGTGTACACAGTCTAAAAACAATTCGTCTTCTTGTTCATTCATATAGAGAATAATGACAACAATGCCCACAGGTGGGATCTTGAGATTTGTGTGTGGTGCTCTACTTTTTGTTCCCGTTTTCACGGTCGTATTCCCTGCTGTCCCAGATGGAGCTCCAGGATGACGGTGTGATGCTGGGTCTAGACAGCAGCCTGGGGAAGGACATCGTGGGCATCGTCAACAACGTCTTCCAGGCGCCATGGGGGGGCTCACACACCTGCCAGAAGGATGAGAAGGCCCTGGAGTGCAGCCTGTGTCAATCCAGTATCCTGTGCTACCAGCTGGGCTGTGAGCTCCTGGAGAGGCTGACCCCCCGAGAGGAAATTCGCCTTGTGGTGAGACACAGCATGAATTTGTATGCATCTAATATAAATGAACCTTCGAAATGAATGCTATGCTAAGTGTTTGATTTCCTCTGCAGGAACCTACAGACACTTTGGAGGAAACCTTGCTCCTGGGTCAGCCAGATTTCTCCCTTGGTGCAGGGAATGGAAACGTGGAAGGAGACAACCCAAGCGGCGCACACACTGACAACCCTACGAACTATTCTCCTGATAACCCAAGTGTGTATCAGTTCTGTGCGCAATGTTGAAAATCATTCAATTTGTCAGTCATAACTAAATATCATTTCATTAATTGTTAACTGCCGTAGCTAAGCTGCTAGCTGTAGCTTTGTATTTAAAGGAAGAGTCCAACACATGTTTATTTGCTTTCTTGCCAAGAGTTAGATGAGAAGATTGATGCCAAACTCATGTTTAGGGTGACCATGGCTAAGTGGAGAGCAGGGCCGTCCTGCTCCACTAGTCGCATGTCAATGTGTCCTTGAGCAAAGCACTTAACCCCAAATTGCTCCCGTAGCTGTGCCTATGGTGTATAGATAGATACTGAATTGTAAGTCGCTTTGGATAAAAGCGTGTGCTAAATGACTGTAATGTAACGTAATATTTGTACTGTAAATATGAAGCTACCTCTAGTAGCTAGCAGGGAATAGCTAGCCAGGCTCCACCTACAAACCTATCGCTCATTAACACCATATATCTTGTTTATTTAAGCTATATAGAAACTGAAGTAAAAAGCATTCACAGGGTTTTTTGTACCTGACTCTTTCTTGGCCAGGTGGAGTGAGAATCCTGAAACAATGGAACAATGGAAACGTACCTCCCCCGGCCAAGAAATAGCCGTTTCCTCCGGTTTCCATTCATTATGCTAAGCTAAGCTAACTGACTTCAACCACATCTGCTCTGTTATAGTGCATGTAAGTAATGAGAAAGTTGAGTTGTTTCTAACACTACCCTCTTCCCTCCAGCCATGAAGAATAACTCTGATAAGAAGTTCTCCTACCAGCAGCTCCCTGTGTCTTTGAAGCTCATATACACCGTTCTGCAGGTACTTGTATATTAAAGGCTGGAGGCATCCAAGAGTTTTTCTGTGATTTATTTTAGTATGGAACACTTTGAGTCACACATCTCTTCCGTATTCAGGAAATGTCCAAGTTTGAGGAGCCTGACATCTTGTTCAACATGCTGAACTGCCTAAAGATCCTGTGTCTCCATGGAGAGTGTTTGTACCTCGCCCGCAAGGACCACCCCCTGTTTCTGGCCCACATCCAGGAAAAAATGCTCATACCGAGGTGTGTGCTGACAGTTACTTTAATCAACTTTCTTATAAAATTGTTATATTTAACCAACTCCTTGACAGCAATGTGTGTGTGTGGTTGTGGGTCTAAATTGGTGTTTTGTTTCAGTCTGTGGTCCATGTTGAAGTCAGAGTTTTGCCAGCTGGCCTCCCTGGCTGTGCCTCAGCTTCTCCACGCCCTGTCTCTGTCGCATGGGGCGGACATCTTTTGGAACCTCATCAACACAAACTTCAACAGCAAAGACTGGAAAACACGATTTGAAGCAGGTGGGTGACAGGCTTATGATGTAAAATCACATATGTAGTGTATCTGATCTCTGCCGTTGCTTCTCAAGATGGTTTGAGAGTATCACACCACCTCATCATGATGTGACTAAACCGGTCATATTTGGTTTTATTTAATTATTTTGTAAGCAAAGTGGTTTATGAACCATTAGATGAATACCCCCAGTCTGCTTATATAATATGCTGCCAAAACCACTGCCTGCCCACATCTCCTCCTTCTGTTGTCATGGTTACCGTGTGGCTCAAACAGGCGGGACAGAGGACTTGTGGGATTGATTGAAGGTTTTTTGTTTCCTCGTGATTGGCAGAGAGGAGCTGTAAGACCTTGAGACAGAGGCAGAGGACTCAATGCATGAATACAGGGAAACAGGAGAACAATTGAATTGACAATAGCCCCAAACATACGGGAGACACGAGAAGGTGTAGTAATTAGCTTATATATTTGTATATAAATATCCAAGAAAATAGTCAAATAAATTCAGTCGTTCAGTGTTCCCAACTACTCAAATTATGCGTCATGACGGGTTCAAATTCTGATGGTCTATATCATGACCACATGTTCTAACAGTGTTACACCCTCTTATTAGCAGTGTTGAAACAGATATAACTGTTGCCATAAGTCATACTTACATACACACACACATATATATATATAAAACCTTTAATGACCAACAGGCAATGTGGTGCAGCTCTGGGATTTCTCTTAACTTCCACACTGACACCTAGTGGTCAACGCTGGGTACTATCCATCAGCCCAGAGTAGGGGGAAGTTTATGGATTTCAGAATATAAATATATAGCGTCTGTTTTTAGATCTCAATCTAAGTGAGTCATGATAACACCAATGATTACTAGAAGGATCGTTTTTTACTGATTGAAAAATGAATTCCACACACGGGATGCAGGAGATTATGATCTGAATTTATGAGCATTATAATATAGAAATGTATTCTATTCCATTTTTACACTTACACCCATAGAGAAATTGGCAAATGAGACTTTTTACCTATTTTTTATACATTTTGCATGTCAAACATGTAGATACAGATATTATGTAATTCAAACTGATTGCAGATTTTATATTAATATAATTTATTATGACATTTCTCAGTTAGTTAACAAACACAATTCATTTTGATACATCCATGCATTATGTAAAGCAAAATATGACTTTGAAATAGTAGCTAAGTAATACATTAACTTAACTTCATCAATGAGCTCATTGCTGATTCTCTTTATTAGGTAATTATGGCCGGACATGCAGGAGCTGAGTTGTCTCTTCTTATTGTAAAATCTGTCTGTGTCGCTGATGACGTTCTTGCCCACTTTATATTCTCATGAAAATTCCCAGTGGAGAAGGTAGCGGTGCTGTGTCGGTTCCTGGACATCGGTGCGGTGACGAAAAACCACTTGCTGAAGTATTCCCTGGCCCACGCTTTCTGCTGCTTCCTGGCCTCTGTGGAGGACGTCAACCCAGCCGTGGCCACCCGAGCCAGACTGCTGCTGGACACCATCAAGAGGCCAGCCCTGCAGGTTGTTAGGCCCCAATTAAAGTCAGATGCTTATTGGATTTAAATGCTGCATATATGTTTATGTCCCCCTGTATATTTACATGTGTGTGTTGTTTATCATACAGGGGTTATGCCTGTGCCTGGATTTCCAGTTTGACACTGTTGTGAGGGATCGGCCTATTATCCTCAGCAAGCTCCTGCTGCTGCACTTCCTGAAGAAAGACATTCCTGCGCTGAGCTGGGAGTTCTTTGTCAACCGTTTTGAAACATTATCTCTGGAGGCTCAATTACACCTGGACTGCAACAAGGAGTTCCCTTTCCCTACTAGTACGTAGCTGCTATGTCCTCATTCAGAGTTTTTACAGCTGCTCCACCTGCTCTGCACTTTTCTTGACAGACTATTTATTGTAACATAAACATTACAGCCTAATAGTGCTTCATATTATAATCTTTGTTTTGACAGCCATCACAGCCGTGCGAACCAATGTAGCCAACCTCAGTGATGCAGCAATGTGGAAAATACGACGCGCCCGCTTTGCCAGGAACCGGCAGAAGAGTGTGCGTTCCCTACGTGACAGTGTGAAGGGAGGCCCAACAGAGTCTAAACGGGCATTTTCACTCCCTGAGTCACTGAGCAACCGAATTCGTGAGTAGCACTCAGTCTGTCTGTGGTCGAACAGTGTTTGCAACTTCTTTAAGTGCCTCATAGGTGCTTTGTTCGACTTGAAATTACAGGTTCAATCCATGACTTTATCTAAAGTCAATTCATTATCACTTCGTATGAAGAGAAGCACCTGCCGCTGTTTGCATTGTCCTAATGTGGTGATCACGGCCTATTTCCTATTCCTTGTGGGTGAAATTAAATGCTTATTTGCAAATGCTATTTGACCAAATTTGAACCATTTTCCTAATATTTCTCTGCTCACTTCTTTGTTCCCAATGTTCATCACACTTCAATATCTAAATATTGCTTTGTTTAATAAAGGAGGAACCCCCAACCATGTCATTCATTTTCTCTTTAGCGCTGCACAGAAAGCTCTCTTTTGGAGTCTTTGGGAGATTCTACTTGTGTTGGCTGAGATTTCATATTTGTGATTAGACCTAATTCTTCAAAACACTTGGATTTCACACTGTTCCGAGGCCATATAGTGTGTTTTTCTTTGTGTTTTTATGTGTTTGTGTGTGCACATGTGTTGGGTGACCATGAAGCTCACACATGTGTCCTGTACTACCTCCCCTGTACATTCTCCTGAATTGTGTTCTTCGTATGTGGTTTTTAGCTCTAAGGCTTACGAGGCAAGAGCACTCTGCCCCGACACTGGGAGATATGATAGAGAAAGTCCTGCCAGGTAAATAACAACCTAAATCTGAAACATTAGTTTTCATAATCACATTATATTGGAGGAGAATGCAGAATGATTATCGATAACGCCGCTGTGAAATTATGACAGAAAATATGAAAAAGCAATGTTTGCTCTATGGGGACAGTCATTGTTTTTTCATTCTGTTCACACTAATTTTGACACGGGGTACATATAAATTAAATTGACTTGAAATATCATAAAGTTGCAACACTCTCTAACAGTTAGCTGGTCTTGTTTGTGTTTACCCTGTTTACATATTCCATAAACACATTGCGCTGATGTATGTGTATTGCATGATGATGTCTCTGCCTGTCTTGATAGAGAAGTGGACAGGATGAGTTGACTGCTCCGCCGGTCCTGCACCCTTCCCTCTGCCCATCTTTTCCTCTGTCTGCAGCACGTTTCCTCCCGCACTTTAACCCTGACACTTCACCCCCTCTTGTAGGCCAGACCCCGTCTCCCGAGGACGACACCGTCATCAGAGACCTGCTTCCTGAGGACGCGGGCATCGACCACCAGACGGTTCACCAGCTCATCATGGTGCTCATGAAATTCATGGCTAAAGACCAGAGCAGCGCCGAGGCCGACATCGGCAGTGCCAAGGCCTTCAACACAGTGAAGCGTCACCTGTATGTGCTGCTGGGCTATGACCAACAGGAGGGCTGCTTCATGATTGCACCTCAGAAGATGCGCACCTCTACCTGCTTCAACGCCTTCATCGCTGGCATTGCACAAGTGATTGACATTTTTTTGGTATTCTGTGACTGCAGCTAGAGATTAACTGGTATTTTCAATAGCACATTGTGAAGAATATGACAGTATGACATGAATGCTGGGGAATTTAACTGGTGTCTCTTTCAGGTGATGGACTACAATATTGGTTTGGGGAAGCAGCTGCTCCCCCTGGTGGTCCAGGTGTTGAAGTACTGCACGTGTCCCCAGCTGAGACACTATTTTCAGCAGCCGCCTCGATGCTCTCTCTGGGCCTTGAGGCCAAACATCAGACAGATGTGGCTCAAAGCCCTGCTAGTTATCCTCTATAAGGTATTATTACTGCATGTTAATGGGATTTACTTGAATGGATTATTCTTTCAGTTTACTCGTTGATATGTTTTTTCAACTCTAAGTCTCTTGCTGTTACATATTTTCTTGCTTACCAGCTTATAATATATTTCTATCCATCTAAGTACCCTTACAGAGACATGGATGGGAGTAAAGTGGTCCTCCATCTGATCCACATCACCATCAACACACTGAATGCCCAGTATCACAGCTGTCGTCCACACGCTACAGCAGGACCACTCTACAGCGACAACTCTAACATGAGCCGCTACAGCGAGAAAGAAAAAGGTGAATCAAATTAAAGTATGTTTTTTATATCAACACCAGACTTCTAAAACGTCTAGTCTGCTGAACATTTTTTGGAAATGTTGATTTTAGGTGGAACTCTCTTCTTACGAAGGATATTATTTATGACTGCAAATTAGGGGAACAATTTAGAAGAAAAAACTTCTGTGCAGGTTATAATGGGATTAAATGACAGTCTTCCCTGTTTGTTTGCCTCTTAAATACAGCACTGATGTAAAAAATCTTTTCTCCATCTTAGAAGAGGACAGTGTATTCGATGAGTCAGACGTCCATGACACGCCGACTGGTGCTGCTAACAAGGAGTCACAGACCTTCTTTGCCCGCCTGAAGAGGATTGGCGGTGGCAAGTCTCTGAAGTACCAGCCGGTAGAGCTCAATGCCAAGAAAAGTAAGAAGCAGAGGCTTTCAGAGTCAAACCTAGTATAACAGCTGAACATGTTTTCGAGAGGAGAGTCTCACTTTATCTGAGTTTTATTTTTGTGTATCAGGTGAAATTGAGCTGTCAGAATATCGTGAAGCCAGCGCCCTTCAGGACAGCATTCTGCACTGTGTGAGGGAGGAAAGCACCAGGAAGAAGCGGCTGCAGGCCATGCGCAAACAGAAGTCTCTGGACATGTCCAACACTGACTCCATCCTCTTCAATCTGGACGAACACAGACGTAAATCCTGCATTGATCGCTGTAACATGCAGGCGCCCACGGTGGACCTGCCTCCATCCTCAGCCACGACGCATGGCAAGCATCATGGCAAAGGATCATCCGATGGCTCTTCGGTTCGGGTGGAGGGCAGTGATGCCGTGGACCGGCGGGGTTCCAAGCCTGTCATCCCAGAGGTTCGCCTCAGCTGCATGGAAACCTTTGAGGACAAGTTGGACCTGAGCTCACTTGGAGGATCAGCTCAGGGGAAGGAGGACCAAGACCTCATTGACCTCTCCTCTGACTGCACCTCCATTCCAGAAAAACACTCACTGCTCTCCATGTCCGACAACGACTCCTTGGTGTTTGAACAGTTGCCTCCTCTGAGGATCATAGAGAGCGATGAGGAGTTTGACCTTACCGCCATCATAGCCTCCAAGTTCAACGGGAGTCCTAAGTTCTCTGCGTCCCCTGTTAGCAGCAAGACTTTGCGACTGTCTCCTGTGGTGCAGGTGAGTGTAGAGGATTGTTCGAGTGACGTTAAGACTGCAGACCTGCTGGTGGGATTGGGAGGCTCAGAGCAATCATTTGAAGCAAAGAAGCCAAACCGCATGACTCCCAGCGCCTCTCTGGATCTTCCTGACCGAGTGGAAAATGTCTGCCATGAAAGCCCGATGACCCTGAAGCAGAAGAGAGACCTGCTGAGAAAGACAGCACATGTCCCTGACACCTCCCTTGACGACATGTGCGATGAGGTAAAGACCGGGATCGTACCAGGGACCAGTCCCTCTAGTCGGACAATCTTCTTAGACATCCCAGAAGACAAGGCAGAGCCTCTGTCCTCACCAGAAAAAAGCAAGAGTGATAGCAACGATGAAGAAGAGGATGGGGATGATGAAGAGGACGACGACATGGGTGATGAAGTGGACAGTGACCAAAAACCTGACAATGCAGATGACAATGATGAGACAGAGTTTAAAATCCAGATTGTTCCTCGACAACGGAAGCAGAGGAAGATCGCGGTTAGTGCCATCCAGAGGGAATACCTGGACATCACGTTCAATATGTTCGACAAGCTGGCTGGTGAGCAGACCACAGAAACCGGTAAGAAGGAAGGTTGGATAAAGATAATTATTATTTTCAATAATCACTTTTTGTAACGTTTAACCTACAATAGTTTTAACTGAACTTAAAGGACCATACCAGCATTTTTTTCTTCAAGTTTAAGCCTGTTTACTACAAATCATTTAGACTTTAGGTCAGAGTTAACCCTTTCACAAACAATGCTGATGTGTTTTAGAATTGATTTCTTCCATGGTTACAGGCAGCCAGTGGTTCCATATTTCTACAGACTAGAGACTCTGAAAACATCACTTACAGATCACATCAGGGCCTCACTCCAGACTTAATCACTGACTCACAGCTTATGTTCCGAACAGATTTTCTGATCAGTCTGCACTTCATTTACATTGCCACATAATGACAATACAGCTTTGACTAAAATGAATACAGGCTTAATGTTCGCTGTGATGGATAGCACAATTCAACCAAAGACTACTGATAGATTTTCACACCATATTCCAAATAAAATGGAAGCCAATGGCAGTGATAGTAAGCATTCGACAATGGACAGTATAGATGTAAAGGATACATGATTTGTGTATAGAGATGAATATTTCAGAGACATGGGTATGCTTCTAAAGGTTTTTCTAATATATGTGTACTCTGAACATCTGTAAGCTATCATATCTATCATATTTAACCATCCACTCCAGCTGTGCAGTGTCCTGTTGTTTGTTTCTCTGAATGTGTTCGCTCCTCCTTTCCTTTCATCCTAAAGCTTCACAGCTTTAGAGCAAAACCAAAGATCAAACTGCAAACTGTGATTTTCTAAATTTGAAACTGGTGGTGCGGGAAACCAAACACTAAACTTCACAAAAGAGACTGTTATTAAATTTGTACTAAATCAACTTTAACTTTAATCTCCTAATTGTTGCAAAAGTAGTGCTTATTACTACTGAATGTCCATATCTTAGCAGCTTTTTGTATTGGTAGAAAATGGCATAAACTCTGATGCCAATGCCCCGCCCATTATTTACCCATATTGCCTTGCAGATCACAAAGTTCTGTCTACATTGGAAAAGCCACGAGAATCTGCCTCAGCCCCAACGCTCGAAGCTGCTGTGCCTGAAACAAGCCACCGCTCTTCAGTATCAAGTAGGAGCCGAATACTTTGCTTCTTAGTCCCCTAATAAACCTCATTCAATTTGACTGCTGTGGTATCATTATGAGGGCCATAATTGTCCATTTTTAGATTGTTTAAGTGCCATCTCTTCTATAACCTGTACAGACAACAATCTTTTTGCAAATTATCTTCATATTGGAGCTGGAAATATCCAATAAAATCACATAATATTGTTAGACATCTTATCATAAAGCCATTAAAATCCCTGAGATAAATGCAGAAAAATATGTTTTAGAAATTCTTTTTTCAAAATAACTTCACTCAGAACTATTTTTTGATGTTGTAGTCCCTCAAGCAGACTAAGTGCTTGACTTAATTTAGTCCTCATGACATTTAAAAATCCCATTGATAGTCGCTTTTCATGTGTGTCTTACCTATTTCTTTGTAACCACACACACTTGATGTCGAGCTGAAACGGTCGAAGTAGGTATTTCACCCCGGGTATCGTTTTTGTGTCTGACCTTTAGCTCAGTACCGTCAAGTGAAGCGAGGCTCTCTGGGAGCTCTGACCATGAGCCAGCTAATGAAGAGACAGCTGGAACACCAATCCAGTGCGCCACACAACATCAGCACCTGGGACACGGGTCAGTCACTTAAGACTTTTCTTTATCCTATAATGACCCCTTGAGGAGACATATGGACATACAGTAGTAACATATTGTATCTACAGAAATCAAATAAAGTAAATATTCCTAATTGACATCATTCAGCATCTAATAACTGACTCTTACCAAAAGCCTTCTGTTCTTCTTTTTCATCACTGATATTCTTCATTTTCTACAGGGCCAACAAAGACCAGTCTGCTCTCTGCACCAAGCACAGTCAGCATGTTTGTCCCTGCGCCTGAAGAGTTCATTGATGAGCAGCCTACCACGATGTCTGACAGGTGAATCAATCAATCAATCAGCAGCTGTACATGTCTTAAAACAGGTTATCATCATGCTTAGACTGGCCTGGTTCCTTTCCATGCGATGCCCCAGGTGTCGGGACTGTGCAGCCGTGCTGGAGGAGTACGACGAGGAGACTCTCGGCCTAGCAGTGGTGGTTCTCTCCATGTTCATCCACCTCAGCCCTGATTTGGCTGCGCCAATGCTCCTTGACATCATGCAGTCTGTGGGCAGGTACAGCTGCTGCTGCAGTCTACATCCACACAGCACTTCACCTTTAAATGAAGTTTCATAACTCACACTCAGAACTCATGCATAATTCATCCCAAAGCCCTAATCCACTGCTTTAACTTCTTTCAGGTTGGCATCTAGTGCCAATTTTTCTGGACAAGCTGAGAGGTATGAGACATTGAAATTGTCATAACAGTGTTTACTGTGCTTATGGCTGGGTTTAATAATAAATGTGAAGTGTGATCGCATGTCCAACACAGCCTTTCTCCCTGTGATATTTTGCAGTATGTTGATCCCAGGGAATGTAGCAGGTGTAGCAAAGCAGTTCCTCCGCTGTATGTTTCACCAGCTGGCACCTAATGGCATCTTGCCCCAGCTCTTCCAGAGTAACATCAAAGGTCTGCTCATACCACTGACTACTGACTCAAAAGTCCTTCAAATGTACCTGCACTATTTCTATAGAGACTTACAGCATGTCTTAGCTGCTCATTTCTGTGTGTTTTGACCTTGTTGCACAACGTTTTATAACCTCTAGTAGATCTATATTTAAATACTTCACTTTACATATTTATTTGAATGTATCTAATTTTCCATAATGATAAGTCTAACTTAATAGTTTCCCACTGGTCTTTCTGTCACATCCATTCGATAAATTCAATCTTTCTTCTTTTGCAGATGGAAGTTTTTTGCGAACACTTGCATCTTCCCTGATAGATTTTAATGAATTGAGTTCTGTTGCTGCCCTCAACATGCTCCTCGAGGTGGGATTTTCTTTTTTCTTCATGCATTTGTGTTAAGTCATTTAACCAGCAGGAGGAGCTCTTGTCAAAGCAAAGTCTTTTGTGGTTACAGCTACATGTAACAGCATAAGCCCATCTAAAACAACAAATCATGAGGGCATTCAAGAAAACCTGCCTTCTGTATCAGTTTATTGTTACTGTTAAAGTTAAATAAATGACACAGAGAAGAACCCATTGATGCATGAGCTCATCCAAGCAATCATTTGTGCTCCAGTGTCCTAAATCCCCCACTCTCATCATGAGCATTGTGATTGATCAGGACTGAATGATCAGTTAAATGGAAATATCTACGCTTATAGAATTTCATTATATAACCCTGCTATGGTTTATGCCTCTGTGCCCTCCAGGGTTTGAACAACAAGAAGAGTCTACCAGCAGGGGGCACAATGCTGCACTGCCTGGACAACATTGCCACCTTCATGGAGGCTCTTCCCATGGACTCTCCTAGCAACTTGTGGACAACCATCTGCAACCAGTTCCAGACCTTCCTCACAAAACTGCCCTCTGTGCTTCCTCTAAAAGTATATATCGACTCTCCCGTTCACTTAGTCATGGTCTGATATGGTCTAATGTGATTATGGGCTGGAGGAAAAAGCATCTAGCAGTGCCCTTGTCAGGTTCAATAGGATAGATTTAATTGATTTGACTCTGGCAATTTTGACCTCGGAGGTCAAATTAATGTACTCTAATCAATTTATCGCTGCACACAAATCTAAAGTCCGGGAATATGGCTGCCTGTGCACCATGCAGTACATTTCAACTTTTGCATTTTAAAACCTACCGATAGTCAAGATTTTTTTCAACTGTTTTCTTGCAATATGTGTGTCTCATTAGTGCCCCATGGATTCCAGTTTGAGGATAATAATTAGTCTACTGAAAATCCCAACTACAAACGCAACCCGGGTAAGCCACCCCAGGTCAGAATTTAATTTACTGATATGTCCAAATTTGAGTAAATGTCTAACCCTCTCTCTTCTTCTTCCACACTACAGAGCCTCCTGGACTCTTTCTCCAAGCTGCTGAGTTTTGTCATCCAGTATGGCATGTTCAGCCTCTCCTACCTCGTAGAACTATGTGGACTGTGTTACAAAGCCTTCAACAAGGTACTCTTGAGTGTATTTACATGTAATCTTTCTGTGTAGGGAGAGTTTAGTATGTTGGAATGAAGCCTGTGTTAATATCCAGTGTGTATGCAGTGTTGAAAGACTTAAACCTTTTAAACTAATCTGCAGTGTTAAGAATGTTGAGCTCCTGTTCGCAGGCCTCTCACTCATCACTCTTTTGGTGCTCTACCTACTTCCCTGACTCTCCAGTCAGCCAGAAATGTGGCCATGTGTCAAAGATGATTAAGTAGGCAGTCAGCTAGTATTGATTAACATGATTAGTTGATGTGCGAGGGCTGACCGTGTGTTTCTGAGTGGCTGTCTCAGACAGAGATGGAGCCAGGGCTGTCTGCACTGTTGGGCCAGATGGATCCTCAGTCCTCCACCACTGTCAGCGCTGCATGCTTTATGTCTCCTGCAGTATTGATTTTCTACACCCGCTTTAATTCCTCACCGTATATATCCGCTTTTCAAAACCCAGAGTCACTATGAGCAATTGCTTTTGGAACCTGTCCTGTGCAGTTGCAGTTGGAGAGGAGAGGTTTCTGGGAAGCGCCGCTCAGTTATCTTTGGAGGTCAGGTTTTGAGGACACAAAGCCAGGTTCTCTAGTCCTACTAAAGTTTGTCACACCATGCATCATTTGTCACAGGCACTGCACTACACGCCAAATGCTACTGGGCCCTCTAGCTTAAGAACAGCCTATAATTTGCTATTTACCAAACGGACATGTTCCACTAACTTTTAATTATGAGAGTGCCGCGCACAGGTATGCACATTAACAAGCCACACAGTGAGAGTCGGAGGCAGCTCTGCATTCTGTAAGAGTGGAAGAGCATGTGCCTGCGCCTAACATAAGCAAACACGACTGCATAGAGAAAGAGAGAGGCAAAGTGGAAGCCAGAAGATGACAGTGTGGTTTGTAAACAGGCAGCTGGGCTTTGTGTGGAAGGGATGAACAAAGAGAGCAGCCTGTCCTCAGGGAGGGAGAAGGCAGCCTGACAGCCTCATCTGAGCTGCCTGGGACTCTGGGAGGAGAGATCTGGACTGGCCTAAATCTACTCCTCAGCTTCACTATTCTCTGTCTATTCTCTGTCTCCCGGCCTAGCCTCCCTCCCCTCTCGCTGCCTGTCCTTCCCCCTCTATTCAGGCTACAGAGTTTATGCTCTCCTCGCAGCATGAGTAAGGGAGAGTGATAATAGAAAAAGGCAGCCTTGCTGCATCAGTACATTTACTCCACTCTCTATCTCCTCGCATCCAGGAAAGAGATAAGTTCTACATGTCCCGCATTGTGGTGTTAGAGCTTCTGCAGGCTCTCAAGTTCAAGTCTCCGCTGCCTGACACAAACTTGTTACTGCTGGTCCAGGTAAAAAATATTGTTTTATGCCCTTCAGTTTACAAGAACCAAATAAATCAAAGTGTTTCATCCTGAATACAAATCTAAAACCTGCTTTATTTTTTTTGTGGAATTTCTCAGTTTGTTTGTGCAGATATTGGTACACGGCTGGCAGAATCCACCATCATCCAAAAGCACATGATCTTAACGCTGCCGGGGGTAAGACTTCATAAGATGTGTGTTTGGATCGTATTAGAATCAGCCTCATAAAACAGTGTGAAATAATGATAGTTCCACACTGGGATTCCTCCTAAAGGATAAACCGTTTTTTGTTCACCACAGTGCACAACAGCAGCCATGGAATGCATGAGACAATACATAAGTGAACTCCTGGACTTCATTGCAGATATGCACACGCTAACCAAACTAAAAGTAAGTCTTGTTCTTCGAGTGAGTGCCACAACTCTCAAAGTATTTTAGTAGTAGTAGTTTGAGTTTTTTTTTTTTCATGTTTTGCTTGTTATTCAGCCTTATCTTTTCCTGACTCATAATGTGTTACTCAGAGCCATATGAAGGCTTGCTGTCAGCCGCTGCATGAGGACACTTTCGGGGGGAACCTGAAAGTGGGCTTGGCACAAGTCGCCGCCATGGAGATCAGCAAAGGCAATCACCGTGATAACAAAGCTGTGGTCCGTTATCTTCCTTGGCTTTATCATCCGCCATCCACCATGCAACAAGGGTAAGAATGAACAAACTACAGACGTCAGCCGACCCAAATTACATGACAACATATTCCCTCACATATCTCTAGCAATATTTACCATCAATCGTCCAGGTTGTAAGATATCCGTCCATGAGGCAAAAGAAAAAACGGTTCACAGTGTTTTGGTGTGCGGGCAGAAATCTCAAAACCTGGAACAAAAATCGATATAAGTGACAAAATATGCTTGTATGTAACTTGGGTGAACACGAATGTTAGTTAGGCTAACTGATGGTGAAAGATTAAGTATAATCCTGAGAGGTATGACAGTAAAAATGAATTGAATATACTGTGGGCTGATTTGTGAAACTGAATTTCAATGTTTTTTTCTTTGAAGGCCAAAAGAATTCATCGAGTGTGTGTCCCACATTCGTCAGCTGTCCTGGCTACTCTTGGGCTCCCTGACGCACTGTGCCCTGCACCAGGGCTCCACCTCCTGCATGCCCATCCCTCTAGATGCTGGCTCCCACATCGCAGATCATTTAATAGTCATCCTCATTGGTTTCCCGGAACAGTCAAAGGTGTGGCAGAAACAAATCCCTTCAAATGTTCCCAGGTTTCGTTAATATAATCTATAACCTCCTCACTGGCCTTTTCTGTTTTGGTCTTGATCTCTGTCCCCAGACGTCGGTGCTGCACATGTGCTCTCTTTTCCACGCCTTCATGTTTGCCCAGCTGTGGACCATCTACTGCGAGCAGGGGGCCGCTGCTCCGTCCCTGCAGAACCAGAACCAGACAGAATTTTCGTCCAACGCCATCCTCACTGGCCTGGAGTTCTGGAGTCGGGTTACACCCAGCATCCTGCAGCTCATGGCTCACAATAAAGTGGTGAGTGCTCTGACAATTATTTAAGGCAGCTGAGGTAGAAGAAATGTGCATGGAAATGTGATGTGTTTGGATTGATTTCTATTCCATATGTGATGAAGAAACTGTAACTATGTTTGAGAAAATCACAGTTTTGATTGATTCATTTTTCTTTCTTAGATGGTAGAAATGGTGTGTCTTCATGTCATTAGTTTGATGGAAGCCCTGCAGGAGTGCAACTCAACCATCTTTGTCAAGGTTTGCTATAATTCTGGTATTTTGCTACATGGTTAATATATGATCACCTAAACAGATAACATAATATGTATCCATTCTCTCTCTTTCCTATAGTTAATCCCTATGTGGCTACCCATGATTCAGTCAAACCTTAAGGTAAGGCTTTAAGAAAAAACTTTGAGGCAGATTAATAAAATGCAATTTACTATTGACTCATTGTGTGATGTCTAAAACGTTGTCATCTTCCATTCCTTCCTTCATCAGCATCTGTCTGCGGGGCTGCAGTTGCGTCTCCAGGCCATCCAGAACCGTGTGAACCACCAGTGTCTGCAGGGCCAGGCAGCCGGAGCCCCTCCGTTTGCTCTGCGCAAATGGCTGCAGTGCACCCAGTTCAAGATGGCTCAGGTGGAAATCCAGTCGTCTGAGGCTGCCTCGCAATTCTACCCCATGTGACCTGCTCTGCTGTCGCCTTGGGTCCAGTCTGGGTCCTTAGACCTGCATGCATCCTTCTCTGGACGAACCCTCTGACCAAAAAAGGACTCTTCTGTAAACTGATGCTGTGGGATTCATTTGGACTGGATCATTTTCAGCATCGTTAGTGTAATACTTGTATATGTACAGTAAATCTATGCTATTTTAAAGTGCTATCACTGGAGCTAATAATTAAAGGTTTGGCAGGCTTGTGGGAGATATTTGCATCAGGTGCCTAACTGTTGTTTTCAACAGATTTGAAGAGTCTGAGAATTTCTATAGACCCATGTTAGTATTAGTGAGGGTGTGAAAGCAAATGCTTGTTGAATCTTACAGTACATACGCTCACTCTATTATATATATATATATATTCTATCACTTTTTAAGTTGCTTGGTTGCAAGCTGGATAATAAAAGTATGATTTTTTCTAAACATTGAGAACACTTTCTCATTTCATATCAATTGCCAACACATTCAAAATTCAAATGTGACATTTACTGCACTTTGATGTCCCGGCTGATGTGGAAAATGTCCAGTTTACCATAATGCAGATGGCAGAGCGATAAAGTCGGCTCTGTTGTTTTTCCTCCCGGACGAGAAACTGAACCTCAGGTGTGTCCGGGAAAATGACATGACATGCATTACTCAGCTCCCGTCTGAGATCCTTGTCAGACTGTCAGTCATGCTGCCTCTCGCCATCAGAGCTCTGATCAATCAGTGGCCAATCTGAGTCGCAGCAGCGGCTTTGTAACTCAATAAGGTGGAGCCAGACATTGGAGGTAAACAAGACTATTTTGGTTGTGCCCCCCTCCCCGCCCCAAAATGGAAAGTCCACCCCACGTCTCGATGCCCCTCTTCATTGGCAGCAGCGAAACAGATTGGCCCACGCGTATACCAAGCAAACACAATTACCTTTGGCCTAATGTGGTTTGTTGTGATTAAGCATTGTTGTGAGGTCTAACCGCATTACCACGAAGCCCTTGTCTGAGAATAACAGATGACATGACAGCAGGGCCAGAAAGGCCAACAGCACATTAATCTTTGTTTTGATCTTCACTGCTGCAAGGATTTCATTATCAAGCTTTAAAATGAATTAGATCTGATGATATAAATGTATTCTGCAAGAAGAAATTCGTTTATTGGACAAAAATAAGTCAAATTTGATTTGCATATATTTTTCAAAAATGTGCTTTTAGTCACTGCATGTGTAAGAGGACCCATGTTGAGAGGTGTATGCCAAATGAGTCACTAGTGTAATGATATCACACATTGTGACTAATGAAGACACATGCACACACTCACACACACACACACTCACACACGCTCCCCGGTGACCCCATAGCTGAATCAGGCTGCAGTGCCCCTTCTCATCAACCTCTAGTCTTGGCTCATCAAAGAGCCGCTCTCCTGCTGTGTGCCTCTGTGTGTGTGTGTGTATTAAAGTGATGCTGGATGCAGGTGTGTATGTGCATGTATTCCATCATGTGCACAGGTGTGTGTGTGTGTGTGTGTGTGTGTTTGTATTTAATCAAGTCCCCCTTGCTCTGGGCTTGCGTCTGTCAGCCACTGCCACCGTTGTGATCGTTTGAACTCGCAGCCCTTTACGAAAGAACCTCTCTCATTAGCAGCAGCTTATGTAATCAGTGTCCCACAGGTATCCAGCTTTCCCCGCCCCTGCCTGCTGCCTCCTGGAGGACCATATGGAAGCGCTGACCTGATGAGCAGGCAGCTGGAGGTAGTGAGGGTAATTAAAGATGACCAAAGGCCTCTCGGGCAGAGAGGGTGTGAGTGGGTCCTCAAAGATTGTGAAGGTCAGCTTTGAAAGGACTTTTCAGCTCTCATACACACAGACTTGCATGCACCAGCGTGGTGTATTACCAGGTGTGTGCATTGGTGACATTTCTTGATTAAAGAGCAAGTTGAGCGAGGTAGTCTCATACAGGGTGCAGCACTATTTTTTGTCCGGAACCAATTTTTAAGAACCCACATTGAAAAGAACCTGTGTATCAGCGCCCTTTTGCTCTGTGGAAATACCTTCTGAGAGGCTCAGAAAACTTGTCCCCCCGCCTAGTGCTGTCACATTGCTTTTATTACAGTGAAATCCACAGCGCCCTGGCTGGACAATGCATGAATGTTTAAATTGCTCAGACTGTCCATTGCCATTACCATCAAGTGGCACATCCAAAGCAGGGCAGGCAAAGCACTCTATGGTCCCTCATTCACATTATAATTCATTGACATTCCTCTTCAGTGCTCCTGTGCATCAGCCTGTATTGCACAGGTTTGTCCCCCTTGTTTGTTTCACATCATTAACTACAGTTAATGTATAATGTAAAAATTAAAATAGAAATAGAAAAATGTCTATATGATTGAATTTAAGACAATTTCACAGAAGTGTTTTTGAATCTACTTCCTTCTTTTAGCTTTCTTCTAAACCCCAATTTCATTCTTGCTTGAGCAGCAGAAATTCCCTCACACACATCCACGAGGTTTTGTCACGTGATTATTTATCGAGCCCAGAGCGAGCACAATATGCAACGTATAAGTTTTCTTGTTTGCGTCATTAAGGCCCATGGAGAGCAATATGCTTGATAATTGCAGTTCATTAAAGATGCACTGTGTGAGACAGACTGAGAGCATGTCCTCCACTGTGGGGGGCCCAGGAGACACGGCCAGCACATCTCTCCGCCCAAGACATGAACGGCACAACACAGCACATTGCAGACAGGATGGGCAGGGGCATAATATAACAAGCTCACTTGTATCACCTTGGCCACACACAGTCCAGTTTGTCTGCCATAACATAACAACAGATTTATGTCATATGCCTCTTTAAACACAATAGGCTGTGGGTCTCTTGTTATGTACAGTTTTATTTACAACTGAAAAGCTCAAATTAAATCAACTTATGCACATCTTTCGGTTTGGTATAATGCATAAATTGTGTATGTACTATTGATTGCCATATATACATGAATGGCTTGCTCCAGCAACATGACAACATTGACATAATTCTAAATGGTAGCACATTGTTTAAGTTTTACTATGTATTAACATATGTTCTGTTACACTGTACATTAATTAACAGTCCAGAAGGCAGATATTCAAATATCAATATTTACATTCATGCATCCTTCATTTCTCTCATATAGGTACATGGTGGGGTATACTGTTAGCTAATATCTGTGCATGTTTCAATACAAGCATGTGTTTTTCCAAATTTCCACAGTTTAGCCAATATCTATACTTAACTGACAGCCACAGAGTACAGCCCACTCTCACTGAGTACACTCATCTGCAAGCACACTCACAGACAAACAGACAGACAGACAGACAGACAGACACACACACAGTCAGTCACTTACACTCACTCTCTCTCACACACACACACACACACACACACACACACAAATGCACAGACACACACAGCTTTAATGTATAAAAGCAGAGCAGCGTTGAGTGATGCTCCAGTTCAGCTCAGTTGTGTTTTTCCAGCAGGGATGTGGAGGATGCCTGTGACAGCACAGACACAGAGACACACACACATCCCTGCTGAGGCCATCCTCTGTGCAACCTGATCTCTGGCTATTGGCTAAGTCTCCTGTCTCTCACCAGTCACAAGGTCAGGCCTGGGCTCATGTCCCCAGTTTCTATAGCGATGGGCTAAGCCCTTCTTGACAGATAGAAAAATGAAGATTGTCAAATCCAAACAAAGCATGACTGAAGGCATCTAACTGACCCCAAGACTCTGAAACAACAAGATTGAACCAAAAGGCTTGAGATAGCAGGTTTAAGTTGTAGGGGAGGCAAAAACGGGGACTGGATTATGATGCAGCACATTAATAATGTTTGGAAAACACACATTCACATAACATCGTAGAGACCCCTGATGTTTTAGCAGAAGTCTCAGGGAAACAGAGAAAAGCATATCAAACACCCAGAGACAAAACAACTGATACCAAAACGCAAGCGTGTTTTCTGCATCAGTGTCTCAACAAACTGACAGCAGGCTTAAAGCATCGGAGCGTCACAAATGGATCATACGGTTTATAAATGATTCACTTAAAAAACATAGCTATTAAGAAATAAAATTAGTTCATCAAGATTTGTAAAGATGTGAGTAACTTACAAGACAGTTTATTTTTTCTTTTAAGTAGAAAAATAAATTCAAAGGTAGATAAATAAGTAAAGAAATTGAGCAAATAATTCAATGAATGACTGAAGTATATTACATTGAGCCTAAGTCTTCGGTGGCATTTTTGGCATGGTAAAATAACCAGTATGTCCCATGTTGATGTCGTTGCTCCTCTTTTTTTTTTTCATATGGATTTCTTTAAATTGCATAGTCAAATGAATCCACACCTCAGAGCCGACAGGAACATAATGCCTCTCGCAAAGCATCTGTCTCAAAAATGCAGAACAAAAGATGGACAGTGTGGGGATTGGAATATAAAAAATGTTGCATTCTCTGTAAAAACTGCATGCACGTTATTTATTTTGTATGATGGGCTTGTCCTGTCTGCTGTATCGTCTGTTGTTCCATTGCAGATGTCAACAGTGTGTGAGGTCTGGATCTGCAGGCAGACTGACAGACGGTCCCTCTCCAGCCAGCAGCCAACCAGCCTGTCAGCAACACTTGCTGTTACTAAGAGCATAATGTTCAGCCTGCTGTGCCACTTTCGACACCATGGGGGTTTGTGGATTTCTGTCTCCGTCCTTTCTGGCTTCCTTTTTTTTTTTACCTTCCATCTTTTGCAGCTCCTCTTGAGCTGAATGGTGTCTTCGGTCCAGGCAACATGCCAAGCAAAGAGGGAAGGTTTACCTATTTGCAAACCTTGGATAAAAACCCTGTTGCATTCTGGGTGAGAAGGGATTGTTGTATTTGGGGTTACGGTGAGAGACGGTAATGGTGATGTCACTTCTTACGTCCACCAGGAGACAGTCTATACCACAGTGTTGTTCGTACCCATGGCCTTCTTCTTACGGATGCTCATGGCATATTCCCCACGACTTGTCCCGTTCTCTTCTTTTCGTAGTGGTTTCCTGCGAATAAATATTTTCATAAAGTAAAGTCAAATTCCTTGACAAGAGATTTACATTTGTCTTCATTAAACAGAGTTTATAGACTGTTAACCTTCTGGCTGCTCTAGATGGACTCGCTGGTCTCAGCGATCCTTTCTAATAAGTTCAATGTTCAAAGGTCACTTTTGCAAGGAGCCGGGGAAAAGACACATTGCAACACAAGGGATATGGCAATTACCTTCTCTGACTGGCAGACACAATCTTCACTCGAAGTAATGAGTATGTGTGTGGATTTTAAAAAAAAAGGAATACCATCAATACATAACCTCCTCTTGAGCTGTAGTACTCTATCCTTTCTATGAGGACGTTCTGGTGCAAAATAAAGCTGCAACACATGATCCCCTTGCTGCTACTGGCCTGTGAAGAGCAGCATCATTCAATGCAGCCCTTTTCATGCACTCCTCAGTGCCTTTGTGGTTATTATATTTGTCCAGTGTACTGTGGCTTCTGCACCGACCCCCTCAGCTGCTCTCTCCTGCTTGGGCTTATGTAACCCGGAGACAGATCTGAATACAGTTAGTACAGTCATTGTTCCACTCAACACTGTACTATGCCTTCATTGCCACAGAGGACCCTTGAGCGACATCTTACCGCAGTGTCTCCTCTCCCCTTCTCTCCTCTGAAAGCCCTGGCTGGCCAGTCCAACTTTGACAAACAGTCATTCCCAGTCCAGTCTTTTTCCCTTGTCGGCCATCATGCAACGGGGGGAATCCTTACAGGATGAAATGAGCTCATACTCGACATAATGCAATCAAATCTAACAACCCTGCAAGAAAAACTATGTTTGCTAAGTTTGTAATGAGAGAAAGTCAAAGAGACTATGTTACTTTTGAAAAAAATAAATAACGCAATCTTCCTCTCTCAAATGAAAAGTTGAATAAACATAAACAATAAAATTCACTGTCGCTCATTTCAATACACTCACAGGTTTTTGCTGTTTCAGCTCTTTCTGGTCTGATATGACTAGTAGCTTATGTTAGCTAACTTTGTATATATGTGTAACTGAAATTACTGAGTTAGTACTCTTTAGCACTTCTGTAAACAACATTTTAACATGTTGCCATTATGCCCTTTTACTATGATTGCCACTTAAATACAAAATACATAGACTATCTTTCAGACAGCTTGTTGTGCTGCTGTATTACGATATTAAGTTATATTCTCTCTGATATTATATCCATGGACTCAAAACTTTACCACTGAGTTGAGTCAATACCTTTGACAAGACCTCAGTAAAAATGCACCATGCATCGTGAGCTGCTTCATAATTGCAGCATTTATTGTGCTTCACTTTGGATTGTATTAAAGTTCTTGCCCCCATGTGTATTCACAAAACGACAGCTGAAGTAATGTCTTTCAATTTCCATTATGTCAAATGTGTTTTGGTGACATTTCCTGGAGGATATAATACAATTGATAGTCTAGTCAATGTGTATTTTTCATGCATATGCTAAATTTGCTCATTTCCTCGGCTGTCAACTGAATTTGTCTACTTTCTTTTTTCGTTGCTCCCTTAAACATTAGCCAATCTGATTCTGCCACACCTGTTATTCAACCATCTTGTTGCTGTCAGGTTTTAAAACCGTTCCTGTCTTGGCTGTTTTTCAGCTGTCATTTCAGCGCTGTGAACCACGTCAACCCCTCCACCTCCACATACTTTCATCTGTCAAAAAAGTCACTGTCAGAGTCTTCACCAGGCTTTAAAGCTTTCGACTAAAAAAGACATCACAATGGGGTCTACATAATAAACACTCGCAATATGCCTCCTCTGTCATTTTTAGCTATGGTAGCAACATGGCTCTAAGGATGGCATTTACAATCTGTCTGTCAGTCTACAACTTTGGTCCAGACTGAAATATATCAACAACTGATGAAACTTTGCAGACATTCATGGTCCCCAGAGGATGACTCCTACTGACTGATCCCCTGACTTTTCCTCTTGTGCCACCATTTGTTTGTTGTTTTTAATGAAATACGATTGGATGGATTGCCATGGAATTTGGCGCCGACCTTCATGTTCACCTCAGGATGAATTGCAATAACTTATTTATTTATTTATTATGAATGACCAATAAAATACCTGCAAAACTAATGACATTGCCACTGACTGTACTTTGCTGTCCTTACACCTGCTTAACATCAGAACAAAGGCTGTATATAAGAAAACATCAGAGTTAGCCTTGCCACAGTGAGCATGTTAGCTTTAGCTCAAACCACGGTTGTCTCTAAGTAAGGCCTCACAGAGCTGCTAGCATGTCTGTAGACTCTTCGTCTCGTTATAAAGTTATCAAAAGGTATGAATGTTATATAAATAATAAAAGCTCTTACTTTTATTTGACGCTTAACTTTGTACATTGAGCTTTCTTTTCTCTTATAAAGTCTCAGATTGATTATGATATTCGTTGTTATATTCATTTGGTTATGAATAACTGTTGAACGACAAACAATGAACGACAGATCTTTTGTGAACATCACACACTGCATTTTGTCCATAGTTGTTGGGGTTGTTTTGGGGATGCAAGCAAGTGGCTCTTGAACAAAGTTATACACAAAATGTGAGGCAATGACTAAGACTTCCTGTGGGACTCTGTCAGCTGGGAGGCGTCATATGTCTCAGGACACAAGGGATCCATGCCGGCCATGTAGGACAGATTCTGCTTGCTGTGTCCCTTGTGGGACCCAGGGAAAGACTCAAAATAGAAACTGTCCAGCCCCAGGGTGGAAACACATTGTGCTGCGGGGGAGAAGATTGGCTGATGCAGCTACAGCTAGGGGAGTTGGGATAGACCAAAGTGTTCTCCAAGGGACAGACGGCAGGGTTTACAGCCAGTCTGGGAATTCTTCTACTTGGAACAAAAAGTTAGCAGGGTTGATTTCGTTTGTCGTTATGCAACATTCTTGCAGCTAACTAATTATTTTAATTTTAAATTTTTTTGACGGATCAGTTATTTATCTGTTATGTTGTAAAAAGGCCGTCTGACACTGTTGATCTATAGCCTGCTGGAAGGTGCTTCGGCCCTGTTTATTTCTCCCAGGACGTAATCTCTGCTCAGACTGACCATGTCGCCTTTGGCCACCACACAGGGCAGAGCAATGGGGCCTCAAACCGACCTCTACCCAGGCCTTCAATAATAGATGCCATGCTGTTGACACATGGCAGGTGGCAACACAACATTTCACAGGTTAGATGAATATTTCATATCAAAGCTGTGCAATCACAGTGCACATTCCTGTTTGAAGTTTGGGGAATGGATCATGGTGAAATTGGGACATGTGTTGAGCTGTTTACAATTACTCCAGCCATCTGGAAATTAGAGTAACATGCTATGGTTCAAAGACAACACATTAACAAACAGACTGTAAAAATCTGTCACCGGTTTTGATGGTGCTGGTATAGTCATTTTGAAAATAAAACAGAGATTAATTATGTATTAGTAAATATTGGATTTTAAACAACTTTGCCTGACAAGTAGTTTCCTTTTATTGTATCTCTGGCTGAGCATTTTGGATATACTTTATTGCCCTTGGACAGGAGCAGCTGTGATGTATTATCTGTCTTTGGACAAGCCTCCCAGAGCGGTAAATGATTGGAAAAAGCATCTAGCTTCATTAGTCAGTTGGTTTGAGTTTTGTTTGTTTTGGCTTCTTGGATGGCTGACAGCCTGGACTGCAGCATCATGTCTTTTGCTTCGGATGGCACAGCAACACTGAAATGCAGCGTGTGTCTGAATCCTCTTCTCTGTGCTTGCACACACCAGCATCCCTGGTGCTGTGGACTCTGAATAGAATTGTATGGAAGTGTTTTTCCTTTCCAGCCCCTTTGCTTCTGACACATGACTGGCAGACAAAGATTATAAAAAATAACAAAAGGCCAGGAGGGCTGGGACCCGCAGAGCTAGCTCCTCTGCTGTCTGTGGTGCTCAGGCCTTGGCCCTCGGCCAGCTGATCTTCATTGGGAAAGCCCGGAGCACTGAGGGGCTGGAAGGGCTATATATAACTGGCTGTGTTATTCTCACTGACAAACCCTGTCTCACACTGTTATTGACTAAGAAGCTCAATTACTGCCTTTGCTTGCTTTCGTAGACAACATTTTTTCTGTCCTTTTCGCTGTGTTGTTTCCTCATCCTTCTACTCAGGAGCGATGGACGATTAGAGCAGCTGTGATAAATGTTAAGGAACCACATTTTTTTCCCCTGGACGGCTCTCCTATTGGCTGGTGACTAATGAATGTCAAATGAGGCCAGTCTGGCTGGATGGACCTGTGTATTTTTCCCTTCTCATTCAGAGTGGAGGGCAGCTTGGCGTGGCACACGGTCTGCAGTCTAGAGCCCACAGAGCTTCAGGACACGACCTGCTTGCATGTATAAAAGATGTAGCCTGCGACTGAATGACTGCGCAAATTAATTCATAAATAATGACTTGGGTTTGGGGCTGGAGCCCGTATTGCAACAACACTTTCTTACCACTGCTGCATTAAAAAAGGTGCCCCTTGGCTACACAGGGGGCTGGAGAATTGCCATAATGAATTTCTGAGCCAACCACCCATTACTTCCGCTGCCTGACTTTGCCTATTTGTTGTTTAAAGAAAGGAGAAATAGAGCTCGAATGAGGAAAGCCATGTCTGGCATGCAGGGTTAATGTAATTCCATAAATATAATAAGGTATGATACTAAATCAATTTAAATACACATAAATAAAACACAGAAGAAGCTCCCTGATTTAGCACACACATCTGTGGCTACTCTCACATGGGTGTGTGAGAGTCAGTGTTTATGCCATATTTTATAGAGTGTGTAAATATGCCAAGATGATGTATATGTAAAGATGTTGTGAGTATATGGATGGGTGCACACAAATCACCGCCTCCGCATGCCTCTCTGTGCACGTGTGCTGCTTTGCACGATGTGTATGCGTGTGGTTGTTAAATGTCTGCGAACATTAACATGGATGTCAGAGTGCATGTGTGACACCGTGCTGCCTGAATGTCACACAGAGAATTGGGTCTGGGTTGTGCTGCAGGCTAAAATCTCACGCAGCCTTTTCTCTAATAAGCCAAATGGGGGTAACAGTTCCCGCAGCAATAGCGGCGTCTTGGGATTCCTCTGCTCGCCTCTTGCTTTCACTTTCATGAATCCAGCTGCCGCTTTAGGAAGCTTTAGACACTTGTGCAAATTAAAATCAACACAGCATTGTATGGTCGGGTCATTATGCACTTCAATAAATTAATTTATAGGATGTTTCTTGGTGACTCAGTGTAGTGGATCTTTCTCAGTGACATTTATAACCCATTCCATTATCTAACCTCTGACCTCAGTGTGACCCAGCAGGGTGATAACGGAGCCGCCGTTGCTTCACACATAAAGGCAAAAGAGATGGTACGGTCTCCCATGGGTCAAATTACATATGACATATTGAGCAGCCTGTCTGTGACAGTTCCTATTTCAATTTGTCATCGCCTAAGAATATTTCAGAGATACGTGCGAATAAGATCTAACTGGAATACTACAAGAACAAACAAGAGTAAAGTCACATCCAACCTCTTGATGGCCTTGTAGCAGATGATGATGGCTGAGAGCAGGAAGACAACTGAGGCACAGCCCACCGTTCCAAGCACTACAATGTCCATCTCCATCCACCACGGCCTCAACAACGGCACCTCGGGCACCGCCACTGAGAAAAAAACGAGAAGAAGACGGGACAGGAGGAAAGAAATTTGGATACAGAAGTAGAGAATGAGTAGAACGTATTTAACTAAATAAATCAGATTTTTTTCATTTATTACAGTGCTCATCCCTTTGGACACAAAACTAACTTGAGTTATTAGTTCCTTGGTGGTTGTATCATACGACATGATAACACAGCAGCATGAAAGTGATTTTCTTCCCTGTCCTGAGTTGGGAAGTAGCTGTGTCCTCGCCTGTTCTGTAGGTCTTAGGTTCAACGTTCAAAGATATCCAACCCGACACAATGAATCATTTAAGGTCCCGTCAGTCTTCCTTACACCAGCACTCTTGTCCACACCAATTACTGTTGCAGGAACCTCCTGCTCTTTCCACATTAGATCTGTGGTGTAAGACCACTCACCAGGAATGTTATATAACATTGTGTGCATCAGCAACTTTGTGTCTGTAATGCAGAACTTATCTCTTCTCTTTCTGCAGCATTTGATGCTGTACCAGCATCTATTAATCAGTTTAGTCATGTGCATATCCATCTATCCATCTATCTATCTATCTCTCCATTCATCCATCTGTGAATGCTGGTTTGTTCCAGTTTTGTGCGCCTGAGAAAATACACTGTGCTGTATATATCTTAAACTCAAAGCTCCTGCGTTTACAGTTATTTTGTTATGAATGAGAGGAAGGGTTTACACCATAGCAACAAATACTCCTTAGTAATGCTGTGGACTATTTTCCAACACGGCACATTTCTACGGAGCAAATACCAAGACATGGCTCTCCCCGGTACAGCAGACCACGTCATAAGTCACTATGAATTTAAAAGCTCCTCTCAGCCAAACTTCCATTTTAATCCTGCGTTTTTGTCAACGGCTGTAGGATTTAATTCAGTCAGTGGTAAGAATGTACTTCATTGTGATAAAGCACACTCCTTTGAAAGACTTTGGAAACCATTTTTAGCACATACAGACTTACCTAACAGTGCCAATTTTCCTCCCTTTTTTATAGACTTTTAGCAGATAGATAAGGTCTCAGACATTGTCCCAGATTTTCATGTTAGCTATGCATATTCATTGCATTTTATAGACTACAGTTTAAAGCAAAATTTCAGCTCTAATCGTTTTGCAAATTGGGCTACTGAAGGAATATGAAGATAATTATGCGCCTGTATGGATTAAATTGAGAACTGAAGAAAAAAAACGTCCTTAAAATGAATTATTCATGGCGTCTCCACCCTCTGCAAACATTTCTGTGTAAAGTTGAAAAGGAATAAAAATTGGCCTGCTTATCATGTTTATCGTGACACACTACTGTTTATGGATGAGTTCAGAACTCCACTCATGCGTTGGCTGTAATTGGGCATTCAAACCCCCACCTCAGCTTACAGTCAGATGGTCCTGACAGCATGCAGTGCCCAACATTTACAGAATAACTCTCGATAGGTAGCTCCTACAGTGAGGAAATAAGGTCCATTTAAATTGACCAGACAGAAAGAAATCATTGGAAGTGATTGATTAAAACCTTTACACTGCTGCCTGTTGAGACTTTAATGATTTAGTGCTCCTCCCTACTCATAATATTAAGGGCTAAGTGTGAGTGATTCTAAAGAGTCACAGTAATAGCTCAGAACGGCTGCATCATCAGAAACACCTGTCTCATATTTCAGTGCACTGTTCATTAAGGTGCTTGAGACTACATACAAATCATATCAACTTTCAGCGAGCAGGCTGGTGAAATATGTTTGCCTATCTGTCAATGGATTTACCATCTCAGAGGGAGTGTCGGAGGAAAAACTGCTGCAACAGGCAGCAGATCAGATATACACGCTTGTTGTATACAAGCACTAACACACAAAACACTGACACACACACCCTGATTGCCGCCAGCTCAACTTCAAAACAAAGCTAAAACTACTGGGCTGCTTCATTAGCTCCTTATCTCTATCACATTAAAGCTAATTTAATTAACTTATCTGTATTTTAATCAGGGGTCCTCCGGGGGAAACCCTACCACTGAACCATTGAGCTTGGCAGCCCAGCAGGCATAGATTTCACAAGCAGCTGGGTACTCCCCAAGGTCAGACCCGGCATAAATTAGTCCTGTGTTCAGCTGTCAACATCCTGCTGGCTCTATCACACGCACAGACGCACTCTTGCAAAACAGTGCCCATGCACGGCCTCTCACACAGTAATCTCAGGGGGTTGATAGTACATTTTTCTTTTGAGCATTAAAAAAACACTCCACGTCAAAACAGTTTATTCAGACTAGCCAGTTGCTTGACACCTGCGTTTGGCTGGGAATGAGATCCAACTGTGGAGCGAGAGCAAACTGAGAGAGTGAGACAGACAGACTTGAAGCGAGGCAGGTGAGAAACCTGGGAGTGTGAGCTGGGAGTCTTACCTGTGGTGCCCAGTAGCCGTGGGGGAGGCGGTGGAGGCGGTGGAGGAGGAAGGGGAGGGTATCTTCTACAGTGGCATGCCAGCTGGCACTGTTCGCTAACTTTCTCCGCCACAGTCCGTGAGCATGACCTCTGGAGTTCTCCCTTATGGTGAAGGAGAGAGAGAGAGAGAGAGAGAGAGAGAGAGAGAGAGAGAGAGAGAGAGAGAGAGAGAGAGAGACATTGAAATGACTGATGCACTGTCCTTCAGTGCATTACTCACAAGTGCCATCAGCACAACACTGTGCAGCACAAATGGAGATGCTTGAACACACAGCAGCCTCTTAGTTAGCAGCACCGTGGATATCCTCTCAGCATTCTTTTCGTAATCGCAGCTCCAGTGTTGTTGTCACCGGGGCTGCTGTGTATGTAGTACATGCAGAATAGTATCACGTCTATGGCTGCAGCCCGCTCCCTGTAAGAAACCACCCACCAACAGAGTGGGCAGCAGGCTGCCCCGAGGAGTGTGCGTGGGTGGACTTGGAAACTCAAGCAGATCACATTACACATGAACCCTGGCAACACTGCGTGCGTGTGAACAGCTCACCACTATCTGTAGGCAGCAGCACAGGGCAGAGGTTAGCATACTCATCACCAACATATGCCTGCTGCAGGGATCCTGGTGGGATAACTGAATGTTGTTATTATAAAAACACAGTTGGCCACTCCATGTTACCACTACTAGAGAGCTGAGTGTGTGTGTGTGTGTGTGTGTGTGTGTGTGTGTGTGTGTGTGTGTGTGTGTGTGCAAAGCTATATTTCTCATGCCTAACTAAAAACTCTACATATGCATGCCAGTCAGTATTTCTGAAACACAAGTGTACCCTGGACTTGTGATCCCAACATCTGGTAAAAACACACTAAGCAATGCTTTGCATATTAATTGTGACATAATGAGTGCATAAGTTACTTGAAAACAGTTTCACCGTTTTTTTATCCTTCGGAAAATCAAACTCCTGTTACATTAGTGCAACATCTTCTCATGCGTAAATTGACAAGTGGCGCCCATGAACACAATCCTTACCTGGCATGAGAGTAAAAACAGTGAGAGAAGGCAATGACCGAAGAAAAAAGGCCAAAAACTTAAAGTAAATGGCATTAGATCTTGGACCAGCATTCCTCTTGCGCTGTTCTCGAAGATACTAGGCAGCGATTCCAACAAACGAATGCAGGATACATAAGCTTGAACTGTTTGGGAAATAACCATCCACCTTGTCCAGTTCAGCGGCGATATCTGTGACAAGCGTCTCCAGAAATAGTTTATGCCACAATCATTTTCCTCTTGAGATCCCGTTGTTGATAGCATAGGACAGGCGAGCCGGTGGAGTGAGTAGCAATTCTCGATAATTCACATCTCGAAAGTAGTTTTTTTTCTTATTGGCACTCAGATAGCGACCTGAATCACGCCGCTACTCCGTGCAATGTGAGGGCGGTGGATGGCCCGTACCTTACATCCCTCCTCGGTTGCAAGCATGAGTGCAAATGGGCCACTCAAGCCATCGAAGTTGAAGAGAGAAAAAAAAACGAACAGAGAGAGATCCTCAGTAATATCGTGCGGCAGGATTCCTCACAATAGGATCACACATCCCCTCAAGTTATCTAGGCTGAAGACTGTATGGGCGAGTCCGGAGGGCAGAGCCGAGGGTTAAACTGATGCATCCCCCTCTGTGCCAAAATACAGCGGGCTGTTTTATACGGGAGCATCACCACCGCGCACTTGATGCAGCGCTCACATCAGCTCATCCTGACAGTGTGCTCAAACAAATTCACCCTCCGCTTCTCAAAAAGTCCCCCCCTCCTCCTGCCCCCCCCCACCCCAAAAAAAAAAAAAACACACACGGAAGGTGGTAACGTAGGCGTCGTTAATGTCAGCGGTTTGTTTGTGTTTTTGTTTGCTTGTTTATATCTGTGTTATTTTTTTTATAGTGGCCCAGGCAGAAAGTGTAGCCCTCAATGCGTGGAGGCGAGTCCGTAAGGATGACGCGTACTAGACCGAATTAAAGTGAAGTGGAGAGAGAGAGAGAGAGAGGGAGAGAGCGAGAGAGAGAGAGAGAGAGAGAGAGAGAGAGAGAGAGAGAGAGAGAGAGGGAGAGAGCGAGACGCCTACCTACTGAAAACACTGCCGTACCCATGTTTGATGTGCTGTGTGCCTGCTAGAGCACTCTGTGGTCCACTTTCCCAAAGTAGGCTGAGATAGGCTAAACAATACTGATGTAACCTGGCATTTACTGCTAAAGCTCAACTGCAAAGACATCTTTAAGATATTTATTATATGTTTATTTATAAAAAACGGGCTGCTTTTGACTTTTTTTTTGCCACCATATTGATTTATTTTACAAGAGGTGATGCTATAGGCCAGAGTGCAAAGAATCAGTATAGTTTTTTTAAGAGCAGAGTTGCATAATATTGTTGGTGGTCTTCACAAGGCACAGTTATGAAATTACCCCACAGCCCCTAGCCGTGGTACCAGAGAGCCAACGTGACATTCACAGTTTACTGAATTTACTTAAACAGATAACTGTCAGTGGGAATAAAACCTTGATGCTCATCTTAGTGTCATTAATAAGGGAAGCAATATGGAAGAATAGTTGTTTTGATAAATATTTGAAAACACCACGTGATTTTACATCACTTTTATAATAAAGTCCTCACACTAACTACTCCTAATGCTGACAATGGGTTACTTGATTGATTGTTGATTATGGGATTACAGAAAATGAATCAGTAACTATTTTTTTTATAATTGTTGATTGTCATTCTAGAAGAAAAAGCTGCAAATTATACCAAGTTCAAACGTGAGAATTGCTGTTTTTTCAGTCTTATATAATTGTGATTTGAATATCTTTGGGTTTCAGACTGTTAATTGGACAAACCAAGAGATTTGGAGATGTTACTTTGGGATTGAGAAAATGGGGATTTTTTTCACACTACTCCTGACATTTTATAGACTTTCATCAATTCTGAAAAGAATGGTTAGTTGCAGCCCTACACTGTTTAAATACTTTCCCTTCAGTATCCACTGCAGGGATCTTTGTTGCTGCCGCAGCACTGTCCCTTCAACTGTTAACCATCCATTGTCTTGCTGGAAGGCATTTGTTTGCAGGTTTCTCTGCTCAGTACACCAACATGCTGCCTGGCCTGTATGACATTTTCATTGCTTACTGATGTTTCATGAATCCACAATAATTTGCTTTACCCAAATGACTTATGTTTGAAAGTATTGCTTGTGGTTTAAATAACAGAAGTGACAGCCAATTGTGTCACAGTCTGCTTATTCCAAATAACACAAACAGCATCCGAGCCAATATTCAAACTACTTTGGATTAAGATCAATGGAATAAGCATCTAGCACTACAGCCTTTTGGTCAGCTAATGGGGTGAGCTAATGCACAAGAGCAGTAGATGACTTTTGGAGTGGAAAATCCACATATGATGCTGAACTGCATACAATGCAGGGATTTCTCAGAGTTTCTGGAGTATAGAGCAAGCCTGGATTTGATGTATAGTGGAGGTTCAGCTTGTCCATCCTCTACAGTCTGTCCCAGTATCGATTATCTGACAAGAGGAAAGCACTACATCCTCCTGGTTCCTTCCTGCTGCCTCACTTCCTTCCAACTAGCAGCAATCTGCCACAACATACATCACTGCCCTTATAAACTCAGATAAGAAAACCTCTTCATAAAATGACTGTGGTCTTTCAGTGTTATTATTCTTGCTGCGGTATTTAATCAGCATCTCTGGAAAACAAACAGAGCACAGAAATATTATTTGCACCAAACAAAAAGAGATTTGAAAACCCTTTGTCATTCAAGGGATAATAATGTTGAGAGCAAATTAACTCCATGTATGTGTGTTTCTCCTTCATTGTATAAGCCCAGCTTGGCTGTATCATTGTGGAGGTAGATTGCCATCTAGTGGGAAAGTCTGGCAACACGCGATTTAGGTGCTCTGTAAACATATTAACAGATCATTGGAACAAGTGGATACAGTAAGTGGTGGAAAGGACAGAAAGTGCATTTTTGTCTGAAGTTGGATATTTCACATTGCTGGATTTTTGTTATTCTAGAGGTTTCTATTCATTGTAAACTCATCTGTTCTTATTTTGTATCTGCAGATATATTTTTGTCATTTCTATCACAATTCAAATATGTTTTTTACAAAAGTAAAATAGAGAGAAAACATAAGTGCATCATTGGAGACCCCAAACACTCCCTGACTGCAACCTTTTCTCAGTGGCAGCTTGCCTGTGCACATGCAGCAGTTAAAGTGACACTTTAACTTGTATGTTATGTTGGTTTCCCTGTACAGACTCCCATGACCCTCTACAATTGGATTAAAGTGTAAAGGTAAATAAAGAAATGAGTGAATTTTGTCATTTGGCTCAGTGTTTTTCAGAAGTCCCATAAATCAGCTCAATCCTCGACAAACATTTCGTCCACCTGTCTTGGCACCAGGACAGCGTCACATTGTGAGATTTAAGGATGCCACTATGCTTCCTCTTTCTCCCTCACTTCAAAAGCACCGGAGTGGGGTGACAGGCCAGGGGAGGGGAGCCCCATTGTTAATTGGCCTTTTCAGCTGAACAGAGAGGTGAAAGGAAGAAGAAGAGAGGAGGACAATAGGGTCCCATTGCCTCTCCAGAACAAGAGGGATGCACTGCCTAAAAAGATAGACCAGTCAGAGCACATATAGACCTGCGGGGCTCTCCTCAGACAACCCCAAACGGAGTGAATGAGGCAATCAATCATGTTGGCTGCAGCTCCCTCGGAATAAATGGCCTGTAGCCTCGATGTAGACTGCAGAATGTTTTTCAAAAATGATCTGTCCTGGTGCTGGAGTGGTTCAGATAATGCTTTCAGGGTAGCATAGTGCACAAGCATGAGGTGTTACTTACCAGACAAACAGTTTCCTCGCATTTCAGTCCTCTGCTGCTGCGGTTCAATGGGACGATAGGTACTCTTTTTTTCACTTCAATGAGGGGATGAAGCTCAATTAGCATTTCACAAGTCCCCTTTTCCTCCTCCATTGCAACCTTCCCCGCGGAGCCCATGCTTTCTCTGGGGATTGTCCTGTTTTGGGCCCTTGTTGCCGTTGGCAGGGTGACAGTATTCGAGTGTGCAAACTTGTGCTATTGTCCGCGGGCCAGAGGGAGCCATGGAGACCCCATAATATGACACAGGAAAATGTTTGCTGATGGCAATTCTATGGGCTTTGTCCGACTCTTTCTCCTTCATGACGACTCGATTTAAGTCTCTAAATGTTTGACTACAAATGCAGGAGTGCTATCCAGCTCCTTTCCCTTTGTCCCGCGAGGTTTGAATGAGTAATTCAGCCTTTGTGTCGCTCGATTGAGGGGGCAAACAGAAAGACAAGATTCTTGAGCGTTCAAGCCCCTTTCCATGGTTATGCACTCTTTAGATCCCCCCCTCACCAAATCCTACAGCTGACATCACTCTTGGGGGGGTATCTATGTTTAAGACTAAAATTTAACCGCTCCAGAATAAAGTTAGAATGCATGCCTATTTCAGCAAAACTTGCGCTCATTTTTATTCATGCGCACTCCGGCTTTTAGGAGATGCTTGGCCAACGCGCGGAAATCACCGTGCAGGAGAAATATCGCATCCCCTCGGCGGCTGTTTTCCAGGTCTCCATGACAACAATTTGCGATGGTGAAGAATTCGATACCAGGGCGCTTGGAGGCTGATTGGGTGCATTGTGAGGGGCCTGGGGTCGCTGATTGGTTCAAGGAAAGCACCACAACTACAAGGAGTTTATATTCATTCAACTTGTTGAAGTGCTCAGCCTGGAGGGAAGTCTGTGCTTGGACTGTGGCTTCGAGTGAGTCTGGAGCCATCCAGCAGTGGTGAGCAATGGGTTATTATTACTCTGAACAAATATCAACTGAGAACCATCACATTCAGTTTAGGTTTGGTTGCAGAATTCCTTTAAAAGAAAAATGTGCAATTGCGCAAATCCTAAATTGTTTTTCTGATTCCCCTTTAGATCTTGATGGTGGACTACAAGATCCAACATGGACTGATTTAATCAAAACCTTTGCAAATATGGCAAACGCAGACAGTGAAGTCAAGACGTTGCTAAATTTTGTGAATTTGGCATCCAGCGATATCAAAGCGGCCTTGGACAAGTCAGCTCCGTGCAGACGCTCCGTGGATCACAGGAAGTATCTGCAGAAACAACTGAAGCGATTCTCCCAAAAGTACTCCAGAGTCCCGAGATGCCACACGCACAGGTCTGCTGAGTATGGGTGCGCCAAACCGGTGGGGACTGGTCACCAGAGTGTGAAGGTCACGGAGAAGGCCGGATCGGATGCACAATGTGCGGAGAATGTGGGGAGCGCCGTGGAGCAGGTACCCATGAGGAAACGCCAACTACCAGCCTCGTTTTGGGAGGAACCTAAATTGACCCCAACTAAGAGGGAGCACTCATATTTAGGATTAAAAAGGAACCATGCAGGAACTTCCGAGAGCAGTGAGAATGACAAGAGGAAACGGAGTTGCGATAAGGATGATACAAAGGCCGCTCTGTCGGCGTCCAGTCGGCGCAGCTCTGCGGATAAAGAGACGCTGAAATTGGACCTGACCTCTCACCACTGCGTGAATGTGTGCGGCTGCTGCCCCTTCCAGTACCACGGACACCAGGTCCTCCACAGTCACATTGTTGTCCCACATCCGCCGCTGGGACTGTGGACTAAAGCAGCAGAGACAGAGAGACCTGAGCATCCTTATGGACAGAAAATCCACACGCACGTTGTGGTCAAACCCATACCGACCAAACCCACCGTCCAGTCACCGATATTCAGTGTGTTTGGATTCATTTAATTACCCTACTAATGGAGCAGTCACACCGAAAATGTGTAAATAGGACTAATTATGTTCATGTTGCATTCTACAAATCCAACTCTTCATTTTTCAACATTTGTACATGAGACACTTCCTCGAGCACTTATTGGAAACGTAATCTATTTTTATTGTTTAAATCTAAAGTGCTAAGTTGCACTTGCAGAATAGCGTCTTCATGTGCACTTTCATGTCTGATGCCTTTCCAAGTATCTGAAAAGTGACAGTAATTTAAAAGGTTTCTACTTTTAGGTTTCTGCAGAGGATGAATGCTCTTTTTTTCAGCACCAAAAGTCAGCAAATGAATGAGCACATCCTGTTTTACTTTTGTCTTTCAACTATGAGAATAGAATGTGGGACATAGATTGCTTTTTTCTTTGTCAAAGTAATGTATGATAGATAGGCCCATTTGAAACAGTGACTTTTATTTTTAAATAAATGATTCAACTTCCCTCGAGAACTCCTTTGGGCATTAGATTATTTTTGCTTTCATTGAGCGTTTCTGTGAAACTGCAAAACACTCTGACGGACAGATTAAAGAAACTTATTATCACGTTTTACATATGTTATAAATAGATATTTTACACATAGAGAATTGCATCTACAGATAAAAGATATGCGATGAAGCTAAAAAAAGAACACAAATTGATAAATTTAGTCACATCTATGATGCCTATATTGCTTGAAGTTCAGATTAAAGTCAGTCAGCCAGGCTCAGGTATCTGATCAGTCTGTCTGGCAGAGGCAGACTTGTGAGAGATTTCAGTCTGTGTCTCCCCATTTGGGTCCGAATCCTAAATCTGCAAAGGTGCAGCAGTGGACGAGGTGACGCTGTGGACAGGACAAAGAGAGAAAAGATCAAGAGGATTGTTGCTTGCATAATTGTAGACCACATTTACGTTGTCTGCATGTGTGAGGAAGTGAAAGACAGAAAGAGACACGTTTGCATGTCAGGATGATAAGATTTTGTCAGATGCTTACATGACTTCCTCTTAACAGCGAGCCATTCTTCTCGGCTGTCCAGCTGTTCAGTGAGCTTGTTGCAAAGCTGAACATGACCAACATGCTCCAGCAGCAAGTCTATGATCGGTCCTGCCCATTTACACATGACGGATGTTGAGATCCACTCACAGAACTGAAAAGGGAAAAAAAATATACTTTGAAAGAACATTTCAGTTATTGTAAAATCCGAGTCACTGCTTTTGCCTATTTTCCACACCTGTGTTGCTCTTTCTGGTGGCTCACTGCAGTTTAAAAGAAGCATATTGTCATTCTGCAAAACAATTCTGTTGCTGCCAACTGTTCTTATGTGGGATCCTCCTGATGTTGGGTGAGGGGCACAGCCGTATGTACAGGTAAAACAGGAGAGGGCATCACAGCCATTGTCCAAAAGACACTTGAGTAGAGGCAAATTATTCATGCAAAGGGCAACAACAGCGGGAAACATAGTGGCGTAGGAGGGAATTCTGGCGTTGACATTGGCCCCTCTCTCCAGCAGTAAGGACACAGTGCTGACACAGCCCTGCCGCACAGCCATCAGTAGAGGACTGACTGGGTCCAGACTAAGATTTGCGCCAGCGTTCAGTAACACCTCTGCCGTCTCGGTGCTGCCGTTGGCAATTGCAAAGTAGAGAGCTGTTGCTCGTCGATCAGCGTACTGGATGGAGTGACTGTCGGCCAGTGTGGCGTTTACATCTGCACCTGTCTTGAGCAGCACAGCTGCCGCGGTGTGTCTGTTGTGCTCTGCTGCCAGGTGGAGGGGGCTGATACAACTGTGCCGGAGCCTGGCTCGACTTGTCACTGAGACAAGCAGGGACACGATCCTGCACACAGAGTGAGGACACAAAATACACGAAGACAACAAATACTAAGCCGTTTTCTAAAACTCTTGCCGTAGCCTTATTCATAATAACCATTGTACATTATAACAACACATTTTGTAGCTGAATACAAATATTGCAACTTCAGCAGTATCCTTATCAACAAGTTACTTACTCATGATGTCCGAATTGGGCAGCAATATGCAGCGGCAGCAGTCCTGAGTTGGTGGGTTTGTTGGCATCTGCATTTTTAGTCAACAGCACTGCAACGCTTTCCTTGTGGCCATTTTTACTGGCCTCATGCAGAGCTGTGACCCCATCACACGTCTGCATGTTCACATCTGCACCTACAGAGAAGCATGGGTCTTTTATAACCTTGAAATGGGGATTAGAAACATTAAAAGGAGTGATATTGTTGTGCAGAAAGGTACCTTTTCCAATAAGGTAGCAGAGCGCCCTCATCTGTTCTCGCTGAGCTGCTACAATGAGTGGTGTGATGCTGTAAGTATTAGGTGGATTGATTGCGGCCCCGGCTCTTATTAGTATCTCACAGATCTCTGTGTTGTTCCTGGACACAGCCTCGTGGAGGGCTGTCCAACCCTGACCACACCGCTGGTTCACAGTGGCCCCATGGGTAAGAAGGAGGCTCACCATGTCCATATCCTCCAACTCACAAGCTACAGAAACAGACAAGTCATTTGGCTGTTATACGGTTATCTATATTTTCTGAATAGTTCTGTTGTGTAGAACACTGCTGTACCTTTGTACAAAGGGGTTTCTTTGTTCTTGCTGCTGATGTCGGGGTCGGCGCCTGTCTCCAGAAGGCACTGCACACATGACAAGTGTTCACAAGACACAGCGAGCAGCAGGGCCGTCTGCTCCTGCAAGGTACGTTTGTCTACCGATCCTGGATGGGCTGGTGCAGAAAATATTCATATCACACAAACCAGTTTGGTGACTCGTTTTGCATTTTGAGAATGTTCAAACAAAGCATCAAAACGCCTCTTTGAATAGATATGTAGATATGGTATCTTTCCCATATTGTCACTCTGAGCTCATGCTATTCAAAACACAACAAATGCACTGCTTTTAATACCGCTTTTAATGTCATACCCCTCAGTATGATCTTCAAGCACTCTGTCTGTCCGGAGAAGGCAGCATCATGCAGAGGTATCCAGCCATCTTTGTTCTCCTTCAGCAGGCTGAGAGGAGCGGATGTTGCCAGATCATTAACAGCCTTCACGTCCCCTCTCCTGATGGCAAAGACCACTGGCTCAACATCCCTTAAAAGGAGAGAAAAAAACACTTGAATTGACTTACACCTAAACACAATCAGACAACAGCACTGTGTGAGGGCTGTAGTTTTGATGCAACCATGAGATCTCCAATATTTATATTTAGGTGATAAAAATAATAATATACTGTAATATAATAAACAATTCTAACTGGTATAATATGTTATTTATTTAATCAAAATCGAATATTTCCTACTCATATTCTACAACAGTTACACAGAAGTCCTCAGTTGAGCAGAAGGACCCCCAACACACACACACACACACACACACACGCACACACACAGACATGCAGTCAACAAAAGACTCACTCCGGCTCTGACGCTGCGTCGCTCTGTCTGTCTCCTCTCCTCCTATCTCCTCGCACTCGCGACATAACATTATTACGTTTACCTCCAGCATTACGGAACTGAGATAAGTATTCAGAATAGATGAATTTAGTCATTACTGATGATGAGAGATTTCACAGCAGTGTTTCCTCTCACAGCGTGGCGGCGGAGCGGCGCAGCAGTGTGCAGCGCCAAGCGGGGCTCAGCTGTGCCGTCTCAGATTATTTTGGGACATTGTCAGGCGGCAGAGTAACGGGTTTATCCATATATGTCAAGAGACTCGGACATCCAGAGATAAGGCGGACAGCACTGAAGATAATGAGGCCCAGATGTCTTTCTTTGCACACGAAGCCTTTATTTAATTGGCTGGTTTCCACATTACACAATCAGTTAATAAAAACACTAATCTTAAAGCGTACTTTTGGAAGAATAGGCCAGTACAAGAGGAAAAACACAGCGAGGGATAACAATGAGTACTACGGAAGATTAAAGGTAGAGCCACCACAAATCACGAGACACACAGACAGAACGCCGCAGACATTGCAGTCCTGGACTGTATCCATAGAGAATGCTATTTAAATATTGCTGTTATGTCCTTCATTGTTGTTAATTAAGAGAGGAGGTATATAGCTGCTATAATCAAATGGACTAATCAGGGCTGTAAGACTTTAGAAATACTGGGGCCACGAGTCTGAATTTCCCCACTGATCCTTATACGCACAACCTTTTTTTACTTTTTGTTTTGACATTTTATTGATTTAATTGTGCAATTATATTTGAATTGTTTCCCAACTTTTGAAAATGTGGCTGCATAGTTCAGGCAAAACTATAACTCCCATAAAAAACATCAGGTTCTGTTTGAGTCCGTTGGGCACAGTTACATAATTGTTCATGTTCATGGCATTTTTTAAATGTGAAGCACCGCTTGTAATTTACGCACTATATCACTTTGAGGGGGCTGCAGTTTCTCCACAAGAGGGAGCTTTTTTTTCATTGACAGACCACATGCTAATGACATCAATTAAAGTAATAGCAGAAGCAGTTTCTACCTGCAGATGTACACACTTCAATGTCTGCTTGTAGAAAATGATGGCTGCTGCACACTCACAGGCCTCCTGCAGGCAATAAGCAATTGAGCAGTGCTGTTTTTCTTTTAAATACTTTTCTTTGTGTGTGTATTCTCAAAGTTAGCTGAAAAAATTATAATAATTGAACATCTTTTTGTAACATTTTACTTCCAGATTATGTTCACCACTCAAATACTGTGGAGCTATTTAGTTTGTTTAGACATGAGTAGTTATTTCCCTTCCCTTGAACCAGAGATAACATTAGGCTTATTTTCAGGCACTTCAGCAACATTTATTTTAGTCTCCTGTATTGAGCCACATTTATTTAAACAATTTCACAAACACCAAAGTTTGTACTTCAAATATTCAGCACAGACAAAGTAGTTCTTTGTTTTTTTTTTGTTTTGAAGACTAATTATGCTGATCCATTGTTGTGATAACTTATAACCATGCCATTTATAAAATACTACAATTTATATAGAAAATTATAAACACATGCCGTTACTAACCACACAAAAAGACTGATTTCAAGATTTCAAATGGATTATTCAGGGATTGTTTTATTATAACTCATGTGTATACTATACAGTACTTCTCTTAAAAAAGGTGAGTCATAAAGTAATATGATGTTTCCTCACCTGGGCAGGTTTACTGTTGAGTTGGCAGAAGTGTGGCGACTCAGGGAGTAGACAGCCAGCCTGTCTTTGATATCGTTGTTTAGTCTCTGGTAGAGAGACCTGGATCTGCTGACTGTGATCATCACAGGAGATGTGTTGTCCAGTCTGAGGACTGAGACATCCAACAGCGTGCTGCTGTCTTCTTCATAGACCAGAGATGAGCCTGATGATCCACACCAACAGAGTCAGAACAATTATATAAGCAAATGTACAAACCTGCGTAAACACACATACTACAGTCACACTGTGTGAATTAGAGACCAAGATCCTTTGACAGAGCTGAAATCTGCACTTGTAGACATCAGAGAGCAGCAGCTCAGGCAATGAGGATAGATGCCTTTTAAGGGCATGTTCAACTGTGTTTGATTCCATTTGATTCTGCAGCTCTAGAGGCAACGCTGAGGTGAGGTCGTGTGTAGTGTTACAGTGAGTTATGCAGCAGAAAGTTGGCACAAGAACAACACATAAAGTTGGAGTTAGCATTTATTTGCTCAACTATGAGCAAGTGTTTTCTTAATGGTTTAAGAAAACACTGTTTATTTTTAAACAAAGATAAAACATACACAGAAAGAGGAGAGATTTGGAAGACCAAGTGTATGAAATGTATCTTTAAAGCTTAACTATAATTCAAAGACTGCATCTCACCACGTGTCAGTGTTCCTCGTCCTCATTCAAAGAAGTTGCTTTAACATTACAAACATGTTGATCTACCTTCATAACAAGAGAGATGAGTATCCTTCTGCTGTATTCGCTCTTACTGTCTTGACATGATGAAGTGTGAAAATGTGCACACAATGACAGCTGATTTTTGTTTCACCATCCCTTTTTCGGAAGTGTTTGTGAAGAATGCTTCCTGCAACAAAACTGGAAGTTGCCTCTGGTTTACTTGACACTAACAAGTCTATCAGCAAGTCTATTTACAGCTAGAGGAACCAGACTACTCTGAGGCTGTTTCCAAATTTCTGAGGAGTCTCACATTGTTTTGGCCGATGAAGACAAACTTGTTTTCAACTATGGTCTCATTCTCTGATTCCAGGTTATGCAAAAAGAACAGCCAGTACCCACAAAACTAATTGTGACTTACTGCCTGTTGCTTTTATGTTTACTTTAAATGTGACAGGAACTACAGATACACTAGTTCCTGCCGTACATCCATAAAAATAAACCGAATACGTTTATGGCAGTTACATCTCTATAAGCGATCATCACATACATAAATAAATGTGTATAGATAAGATGTACATGTACTTTTAGATACAAACTGGAAGATATAAAATCCATATTGATCCTTCTACCCTTATTAATATAAACGGAAGTTGAACAAGCACTTAAGGAAGGATTAGTTGTTTGAGAAGAGAGGAGATAGTGCTAATACTGAGAGGTGGTGTTTATTTGCAACACTTTAAAGGTGTAGTCAGCATCGTTAACATTGCCTCAGTCTCGTTTAAGTGCGTCAGCAAGTCTCGTCAGTGATTACACCTGCGGTTTTCCGGCTATCTCAAGTCAAATAGTCTTTTAGGAAAATGGTCTATTGGTAAAACTAATGCGGGTGTAACCATCGTGCATTTTATTAATTTACCCTTCGCTTTTCATGTAATGATGTGTCATATATCAATGTCCACTATATATGAAAAAAGCTCTATAAAACTAGAAAGTCCCTCCAATTAAGAATGTGTGCTTAAAATACTCATTGTGACTTCCCTTTGATGTTTGACCTTCAGTGATCAGAATGATGTACATGCAGAGTTGAACACCAGGAGGCTGTTTCCATATTCATCCCCTGAAGGGAGAAGGTTTCTCTGTGCTTACATCAAATCTGGATTTAAGACACGTACATTGAGCATGATTTGGTGAAGTTTGTTTGCAAATCATGGTTCAACATGCAACTTAGATTGAGAACGGACCTGTCAGAGATATAGACATTTTGCATCCACCAGTTAAACTTTTGAAATTAAATTTGCATATTATTTGCAAAACTAAACTGTTGAGTTAGTTAATCTACTATTTCAGTGTATATACTGTGCATTTTTTATATTTCTTATTTTTACTCTGTTATTTTTATTGTATATATTTTGCATTTTTATACTTTATACTTAATATTTATATTTTTTACTCTGTTACTTTAATTGCTTAAGTATATTTGTTGCTGCTGTAACAAACAAATTCCCCCTTGCGGGATGAATAAATGATCTATCTATCCATCTATCTATCTATCTATCTATCTATCTATCTATATTAACCAAATCTGGAATTTGTTAAGGTATTCTGGTTCTACTTTTTTGTCAAAAAAATGTATCAGACAGAAATTATAATTCAATGCAGAGTATGTGTATACTGTATATGTCTAGAACAGAGGTAGCCAACACGGTGCCCGCGGGCACCCTGTCGCCCGCAGGGACCGCGTGAGTCGCACGCATCATGTTCTAAAAATAGCACTAGTCACCATGGAGCTCCATCTATAATTGTAGTTGCTGTTCTTTTTTAATCAAAAATGCTTGCATTAGTGTAGATTTTAAAATGACAATATTTCTTGTCAGAAGAGAGTTGGGTACCTGGAGGCGCACGGCGGACAGCCAGAACGAGGCCGCCGCACCGCACTAGGTTTTCAGGTTCCGAATTGCGGGCGCTTCCCATTGGCGCTAGACGCGCGCCGCGAGTGCACCCCTTCATCAGGTCCGTAAATCCTCAGAAAAGTCCGCGGGGCAACAACTCAGGGGTGGCGGGGGTAGAGGCGAGGCAACGCAATCCGACCGAAAAGGCCCAGACTAGAGGTTTGAACGCGGGCGCCCGGAGACGCTCGGCTATAGACGAGACTGGTTACTAGTTTCTTCGTGGAGAAAAAGGTACCATTGGAAAAGCTGGTGTCGGTGACAACAGACGGGGCTCCCGCGATGACGGGCCGGCATGCAGGCTTCATTGCGCAATGCAAAGGTGACCCAGACTTCGCAAAATGTCTACATTACCACTGGATCAGTCACCAGCAGGCGCTATGTGCAAAAGTAACCGGCTTTGATCATGTGATGATACAAAAATATCAGAGATGTGATACCTCTGACTTTCAAATGTTGAAACAGATTAACAGAAATAAAAGTTGCATGTTTAAATATATATGTGTAGATACCATCATAGTTGTGGAAATCATTCTTAATAATTATTGTGAGGAATAATTAACTGACATGTGATCAAACTGTCTCTTCACTTATATTATTATTATTAAGGTGATCTGTGCAACTTTGTTATTCAGGAAGTTTGTATCAAATAAGTAGGCCTTCGTACTACTCGGTACCCTTGAAGTAGCTCTCAGTTTAAAAAGGTTGGTGACCCCTGGTCTAGAACATGTCTGAATGGGAAGTTGCAAGCAGCAGACTTTCTTTTCTTAATTATGCTTTTATTATTATTTCAATGTCAATACTGGGTTAACTGGAACATATTTCGCTGGTAAAGTCTGCAGAGTAGTTTATGAGCTTTTCACAGAGTTGATAACGGGGTGCATCCCAAACCCTCTCTGGACTTCAGCAGAGTCTGGGGACTCGGTTCTCTGAAATTAGAACGGAGTGAGCGCTCTTCATGTTCTGCTCGTGCCGGACCTGTAACGATCTCATTTCTATGCACACGTCGCTCTCATTCAACTCAATGAAACAGAAACCGCCCATCTGGCAGTTGCCATGACAACGGAGAAACGATCCCTGCACATTCCCTGTTGTCTCGCACGCGGTTCCAAGGAAACTGCAACACAAATCCAGGAAAACATCCGGAACGGACTTTCTGGTCTCGCCCGAACGTGGAATAACTGCAGCACTTGTTTACTCATCAGGATTACTGGACAATATATTTGCAAAAAAAACCAACAGCAAACAAACACGATGACGTCCTCCCTGCCTATCCTAAATGACAGCAAGCCCCGACTGAGACTGACGGTGGAAAAAAGAAGAAACATTTTTGTAACACAACTGAACGACACCAGGTAGGAACTTTGTTCCTCTTAAACCCATTTATAAATGTGTCGATTGAATTGTTCTGAAAATCAATTTCTCATCAGACACAGAAAGGAGGAAAATGTCAACTACCTACCTGTTGTGACAGAGGTGAGACAGAATAAGTAAGCATGCTGTTAAAAAATGATGACCTAGGAAACTTTAGGAAATAGAATATTAAAATAATGATACAGAAAATTAGGTTTTGTGGCCTGTGATGACACTTTTTTTAAGATAGTTTGCATGGACAGTTTGAGTGTTTATTCTATGTTTAGACTTCCAGCAGAATCCTTGAGGCAGGAGTGAACACTTTGCAAAAGACCTTGGTTCTGAAGAAACAGGGTGAGTTGGACAAAGTGAACCAGCAACTCGCACTCAAACGACAGGAGTTTAAGACCCGCGTGGAGGCTCTAGCTCAGAGAAGGTCTGAACTGGAACTAAAACAACAGCAGGTGAATTGAACCCCCCTGAATCTACTTGAAAGCATGAATGATTATGCTCTAGATATCCACTGATGACACTGGCCAATATAAAAACCTTTGGGATTTGTATTTTCACCCAGACTAAAGAGAGGGTGATGAAGTTTGAGAAGTTTGTGGCTGAAAATGAAGTGAAGCGACGCCGAGCGCTGAAGAATTATGAGGCTGCACTTGAGCTGAACATTTCTAAACAGAGAGCGATAGAAGATCTGACAGATCACCTGAAACAACTTAGAGCAAGGTGAGAACTCTCAACCGACGCCTTAATGCAACGATCACGCCGTCACTTTTAACCTCAGTTTTCCCATATCTCAATTCACAGAAAGCTAGTTTTAAAGGAGAGAATGTCAAAATACAAAATCTATGAGGACTACTTGATGAAAACAATAGATCATTTCCCCAGCAGTAAGTTAAACGGACTTTTATTGGCCTCCATAAGAAAACTTTTACATGAATCAGTTCTGCTTATCCTAATGAGTTAATTACACACTGGCAATAAGATGGACCAAACTGCACAATGTCTTTCAGCTTACCTTGATCATGGGGCTGAATCTTTGGTGACGCCCATCATTCGGCGCCACGAGATCCTGTCCATCAGCCACCGGCAGCTGCTGCAGCGTTTGGGGCGTCTGGAGGAGGAGGTGGAGCAGGGCCAGCAACAACTGCTGATCATGAAGCAGCAGCACAGTATTAAAACAATGGTCAGACACACACACACACAAACACACACACATATTCATCTTTTCTTCAATTGTCAATGTTTGAATGAACGACCTATTAGAGTTTGCATGTGTGTTGCAGATGGCCAATAAGGAGCTGTCTGAACTCCAGAGTGAGTTAGAAACCCTCAAAGAGAAAAACAAGCAGGCAGAGGTTGACCTGCTGATGAAACAAGGCCTGAACAGACAGAAGGTATGCTTTCCAGATTATGAATTGGAAAGGACTCTTAGCTAATTTGCAGATTGGAGTTAGGGATAGAAATGTTTTTAAATGTGCCATTGTCACTCAGGTTGAAGAAGTGGGCCGTTTGATTATGGCAATCAACAATCTTGCAGAGCAGTGTTATCTATCAACATATGGACCACTGGAAAACATGAACATACTGACAATGATGGACATGGTGAAGGTAATATCTTAAGAAAATAGTTGCTTGCTATATGGTAGTAATAAACGTTACTTTACCTACTTTTTAACTAACAAAGAGTATGATTTCAGGAGTACATCCTGGACAAGGCGGACACGGAGAGGAGAGCGAGGAGACTGATGGAGTCTTCTGCCATGACGAGTAGGACAGCTCCGACCGACAAAAGAGAGAGGGGGTCAATGAAAAGCATCGGCACTAAAACACAAATTAAAAGTTCAAGTAAAGTCAGTAGAAAGAGTGAGACAATGAGTTGATGGGGCACGTTAACAACTTCACATGGTGTCACTGCTTACAATCTAAGTTTGCTGAGTGTGAACATTCATTTTGAAGCAGTAGTTTGACAAGAACAAGTAGAACATGACAAGTATGACAACCACGTCCGCTGATGAGGAATGGAGATGCAGGGAAATTAAAACTCTGGGAAAGGCATATAAGCAAACCTTGTGTTAAGATAATTTTGTCATCATCTAAAAGTGGTTTGATTTTTGGGGTTTGTGTAACAGAGTTTCAGTGTTCAAAACTCTTAGTGAAAAATGCTATGCACCACGTTTTGCATTTAACATTTCATAAAGATTTTGAAAATGTCTTTGGAACGTAATCATTGTTGCATTTTAAAATAAAAATGTTTACAATCAAATGATGCTGTCAGACAAGAAGTAACAATTAGTAAGCATCAAAACGGCCTATGCAATGGTACGTATGCAATTTCTATCACATTTAGATTATACAAACGACAGAGAAAAGATCTGTAATTTAATGAGTATTTGAAATGATGTAGAATAAATTATTCTTTGTGATATTCTGTATTTTCTATTATTAAATCCTGTTCTTTTACTAAATAATATAGTTCAGCAGAGATAATCTGACTTTCCTGTTATAAATCCGACACATCGCGCAGGAACAAATGCTGCAATCATTTACATTTTCTGTTCCACATAGTTTGTGTTTTTGCTCAACACGCCAAACATTTGCAGCAAAGCAAATTCCTGAATCTGGCCTGCTCCATGCTGTCAGACACTGCCTGCCCTGCAGGTTTTCATAAAGCCCTTTAGTGCAGACAGTGGTCACCAATTAGGTTGCAATGCTACTCCTCCGGGTAATGCGGTTAAAGTAGCAAAACATGTTCAGTAATAATCTGGGTTGTTAGGCTGTGAGTACGTTTAGTAGCCTATTGTAGATAAGGATCATTTTAAAATACCGTACTTGTACTTTACTTGAGTATTTCCATTTTTATGCTACTACTTCACTTCATTTCAGAGGTAAATATTAAACTTTTTACTCCACTACCATGTTGTGACAGCCATAATTAGGCTACTTGTTACGTCAGAGATTCAAAACGTTCCTACAGAGAAATATGATGCGTTATTGTAGGCTATATAACGTTGTTAAAATCAGGGTTGACATCGATCACATAGATCGTGATGCAGTACCGTTACTTTTACCTTGAGCATTTCAAAAAAATAAATGCTGATTATACTCCTACTTTTACTAAAGTACGATCTTGAACATAGGCTTTCTGCTTGTAGCAGCAGAGGTTAATTGTGGGTTGCCATTTTTCGGTTGCATAAAGTCTCCTACGAATTTTTGACTCAAACACTGTACTGTCCCTTTAACACGAGCACGTGGTATCTGCAAACATCCGGTTTCCAGAAAATGGAAATACGATTGCAACAATGTTTTGACACACAGCTTTGACGCACAGATTCTTGCTACACTGTAATTACGTTTTCTCTCTGACATTGTTTCCATGTTGTCGAAATACGAAGGGATGTCGTGCTGGTAGTCGACCCCTAAAACTGCTGTTTTCTAAATGGTAAAGCCGTTTGTTTCTCGACAGATGGAGGCAGGCAGCCTCGTCTCATGCCGAGAGGACATCTCTTCGCTGTTTCCAGAGCAAACGCCGGGTGCCAAATACAAAGTAGGACATTTAGTTGGGGTGGGGTTAGTATAGAGGCTACTTCAGGTGCTCAGTCGCCCATTTTAAAGGCTTCAAACTGTCGCATAATAATCACACCTATTGTCCTTTGTTAGGATTTAAGCGGTCAGTTTTCCACCGTCAGACAAGTGCGCGGAGATGGAAACTGCTTCTACAGAGCCCTCTGCTTCGCACACTTGGAGTCAGTGCTGCACAATGCCAGGGCTTTGCAGAGGTCAGTTATCGTCATTACTGCCATTTCTAAAAAAACGGAAGTCACCTCAAATTTAAGGTGGTGACATCTTATTGGTTTGACTTTCAGGTTTAAGGAGAAAATTGTTCAAACCGATGAAGACTTGTCTTCTGCGGGATTTGATGAGAGGTCCTTCAAGCACCACCTGAACACAGTAAATAATGCATTTATTTTTACAGACTTACCATGATGTATAAGGTTAGGAAAGCCCAAGTTTTAATACGCGTGGAAAAGAAAAGAAGTCTTCATTCAAGCGAGCAACAAGGGGAATTTATTGTTGGGAACGAACCATTCAGAAATCACAGAAGCAATAATACAATCAGATTACTAGTTTGGGCACTTCGAATGTTTTTATGGTGGCGTCATTCTCTGACACCCGAGTCAGCTGCAGAACTAAATTCCATTCACAAGCCATCTTCTGGCAACATGTCACCTCACCTATGAAGGTTCTCCGTTATACACGTCATGACTAATTTGGTAAAAGTATTGCAAGTCAAAACCAATTGTACTTGTTGACATCGTGAAGTTCTTTGGATACTCATCCATCAGTTCATCATTGGAACTGCTAATGGATCTCAGGGAAATAAAATCAAAGTATTGGAGGCACACTTGTAGAACTAGGTTAACCCAATGTGTGTGAATACCTCGTTCTCTTGCAGGTTGTTAACGTAGTGGAGCAGTGCCAGGCTGATGAGCAGGAAGACACGCTGCTCAGGCTCTTCAATGAGCAGATGACGTCCGACAGCGTGGTGCAGTACCTCCGGCTGCTCACTTCAGCGCACCTGCAAAACCAGGCGGAGTTCTTCTGCAACTTTGTGGAGGCCCCAAATCTACTAGTCTACTGTCACCAAGTTTGTAACAAAGTGCCGCTGCCATCTAGTGAAAACAAATAGTAGATCCGAGGCTTTAATCAAGGAGATATAACGGTCAGGTTTGGTAACGTCTTCGCTCTCTTCATTCAGGAGGTGGAGACCATGGCGATGGAGTGTGATCACGTGGACATCTTAGCTCTGTCACAGGCCCTGGATATTGGCATCCACATCGTCTCTATGGAGGGCGATGAACAGCAGTTGGCTCACCACGTCATTCCAGAAGGTGCCGAACCCTCCCTGCACCTCCTCTACCAAACGTCACACTATAACATTCTTTACCCGCGACCTCAACACTGACCAGAGACCCACGAGGACTCGGCTCAACTCAGGAATATTGACTTTGGTGGAATAAAAATCCTTCCTGGGCTTTAAGACACTTATGAAAACAGATTTTTATAAAGTCTTGCAGTGTACAGCGATTCAACAACATTTGGAAATACATTTTGTTTTGCACATTGTGCACTAAGTATTTAAACGAATTAACATTTACATAAATCAACAATTACATAAACCGCGTCAAATATGGCCTCTCTAAACACACACATTCCTTTCACATTTCACTGCTGCTCTTTCTTCTGCTGTTGTGCAACACCTTTCTTTAACTTCTGTTGTTTCTTCTCCTGTAATGAAACCCTGGTGAGGGCATTCCCCCTCCCGGGTACAGGCATGTGAGGAACGGACAGCTTTCCCATTTGAGTGGGGTACTTGGTCCTAATCCCATTGTTGAATACCGGCTGGGAGATCAGATGCTTCAGATGCTTCTTCATCCCCTTTACCGCCCTCTGCTGCTCTCTGTCATCATCTTCATCCTTTCCCCTGCCTGTGGACATAAATGGTATATTCAGTTGTCTGTATTTTAACATTTTTAAATAAAGGGAACCTGGTGTGCGAACATGTTGTGTTATGTTGGTCTCACCAATTAAAAGATCATCATCCAGGTCCACCTCCATGGCCTCTGCTGCCTGTCTGAACCAGGAGTTGTGCTGCTTCTCCTTGCTGTTGTGGAACTCAATCTTCTCGATCTGTCTGGCCAAGTTCACCCGCTCCTGTGAACTCAACAATGAACAATCAGATATAATCTCTTTAATGTCACATAAAGGCTTGATCTAATGCTGGATCTCACCTTGATGGCTTCCATGCATTTGCCCTCTATGGGGAACATGGGAAGCTCCTCGTCCTTCCCCAGAGCCTTGTAGATCTTTTTGAAGTTCATCACGTCGTCGGGGCCGATCAGCAGCAAACTCAGACCCTCTTTGGTGGCTCTCGCTGTTCTGCCACTGCGATGGACGTAAGTCTCAGACGTCCTGGGAACCTGATGTTCACAGGTGGACATGATTAAACATATTAGAACAGCCTCTAATACAATACTTCAGCTAACAGAGCTATGCAGCTGTATTATTTAAAATCAAACATTAACAACTGTAACCAAAATGTAGCTCGACGGTAAAGAAATTCCTGCACCAAGGCTCAGTAAAACATAGTGGTTGGTGTTACAGTATAGTAGTACCTTTCTTCATACAGGACGATACTCATGTCGGTTAAACATAAGGAAATGGCTTTCTGAAATAATGAACGCCGTGGACAAAGCTTACCTGGTAGTGAATGACATGCTCAACATTCGGGATATCCAGTCCTCTAGCTGCCACATCAGTAGTCAGCAGAACACAACTGGGAATGAAATTTTGATATTGTGTATAAGTGTCAATTCAGTAATGAGAGAATGGTGAAGTGTTGAGTTGGCCACATGTCAAGGGATGTGACACTGAAGAGATGCTAGATAATGATTAACAGTAACTATGTAAGTATCAATTTAAAGACAGAGCTTATTACAAAAGCTGGGGAAAGATGGCAGCAACACAACCACATGTACAGACTAGTCAAAGCGCACTGGAGTTGTTTCTCCACCTTCCACTTTGAGGAGTGCAAACTTGTAAACTACAGAGCATATTCTGTAAATATGCATTATGATTAAACGATGGAACAAGTCATGGGAACATAATCCTGGACTTTTCATGTATACCAGATAAAATCCTGAAGGCCTTAGTTGCAGTTAAGACTTAAGACAGTTAAGACTAACATAACCTGAGGCAAACCCCTTCAGACTGCTAGTGCAAGTGTGTGCAAACCTCACCTCTCCCTCTCTGCAAACCTTTCCAGGTTTTTGAGGCGTTGCTTCTGGTGCATGTTGGCATGAAGGGGCAATGGAGTACAGTCCAAGATAACCAGCAGAGAGTTCAGTCTCTTGATACAGTCTATACTGTTGGCAAATACCATGGTGCGGCCAGGATACTGGAGCAGGAAGTAATAAAGGTAGAAGTCCTTCTCTTCCTTCTGACAATGGATTCGGGTCTCAGTCAGGGTCTCCACAGTTGCCTCCTTCCGGGTCAGGTCAACGATTTTGGGTTTGGACCTGATCCCCACTTTGACCATGAGAGCTTCCAGCTTGCTCCTCTGGTCCAGATTCTTCTTCTTCTTCTTCTGCAGAACGCGGGTGGGCAGGCTGCGATCCATGGTCAGCGTGGCAGAGAACACAAAAGTCTGCCTCTTGGGATTAAAGTGAACGGTGTTCAGCATCTCCAGCAGACTCTCCAGCTCCGCAAAGTGGCCTCTCTCTACCATGCGATCTGCTTCATCAATGACCAGGCACCTGCAGAATAACACAACCAAGAGAACTTAATAAAAAGGTAGCATGAACAAAAAACAAACAAAACAGACCTCTGTGAATTATTCATCACACTCAAACTATTCCTGATGTTGATCTGTCAAGTTCAATAAAAACTAAATCTGCTTTCAACACACAGTGTTCTGCTGCTTCTGGCTTTTTGTTTGACAATGATTGCACAGGGACCCCTCCTACAATAATGTGCATGCAGTCAATACCAGGTCTCTGTGATTTATTGAGCCTTTCACTGCTGAATTTGTACTTCAGGCCCATTCCTTCATTACAGAGCTTTATACACACTATATTTAATCTTTATATGACACCCTGTATGGTTCCCCGCATTTGAAAATTAGCTAATGTGGTCCGTCCTTACCGGCCAATAAAACTCAAAGCACATTCCATATTTCTATTTCTTTTTCAGTGTAAATGTAAACCGGACATTACCGGGTAAAAAGCATTTATGAAGATCCGTCTACCCTTTAGCAACCCAAACCAGTAACGCCTTTAATCAAAATCTGATGAATAAATAAGGAAGTAGGGCTCGATGATAATTCAGTGCTACAGTTTATTGGCTTTCAATGGCGTCGTATTGTGATAACATGATCATTTATTAAGTATATTGTTATCAAAAACTAAATATGTTGTACTGAAACACATCAATCTTGAGAAAATGAAATACCCAAAGCGCTCTTTACACAATATGGAAACCTCTCCCAGAACACACAAAAGCCTCGACACTTCTACCAAATGCAGATAAACAAATTAGAAATGAATATTAAAAGTTATATTGAGTGATTGCAGGTTTTTGTTTATGCCTGATGACCTTTGTCTGTTGTAATGCAGTACAGTGGGACACAGTATATTGTAATGAATTTGATATCTTTATTATTTTATTCATCTGTGATTTTGCACATAATTGCCATATCTTGATAAAGATAATGTTGATATCTGAAATATATTGCAATACCATATAAGAAAGAGGTGTGAATTGTGACTTACCTGAGCCGTCTCAAATTCTGCAGATGTGGATGCCCCTCCTGGATCAAGTCCCACAGACGTCCTGGAGTGGCAATAACGATTTCTGGTCTTCGCTTTAGCATCCTTCGCTGTTTCTGTTGCGCCATTCCACCCACCAATATTGCCGTTTTGATGTCTACACAAGAGTAACACATTGAGTATCTTGACATTCATAATTACGTTTTAATTATCAAAAACAAAAAAACACCTGGTCATCATAAAACTTGAATGACTTACCTGTAAATTTGGCGACAGCATCAATGTGGTGCTTGACCTGAACAGCCAGCTCCCTGGTGGGAGTGAGCACCAGTCCAAGCAGAGGCTGACTGCCGCCACCGGCAGGTTCTTCTTCTGCTTCAGCGGTGGGCTCAAAGTCAAACTCTGCATTTTCGATTACTTTAACACACCCGAGCCTCTCGTCGTCATCTTTTTCTTCACCGTCGTCTTCGCTGTCATGTTCGTCTGTGTCACCTTCATCCTGCTCTGTGACGCCTTCACCCTCTTCTCCCTCGGCGTCCACGTTGTCCTCCTCGTCGTCGTCTTCTATCCCGGTCTCATCTACAGCTGGCAAATACAAACTCTCCACCTTTGCGGTTGATTCGGTGTTGTCGTCAGTTGGCTTTTCTGGACTTTTCTTCCACTCCAAGATGGCGTGGATCATGGGAATACCAAAAGCCAGTGTCTTCCCACTTCCTGTAATGACAGTGCTCACATTAGCTTCACTGATGGACACATGAGGACGGACTATTATGGGACAAAAACAAAGGGTGTTTTATCTTACCTGTCTCAGCCGCCCCCAGTATATCCATACGATCCCTGATAGCTGGAGGCAAAGTCAGGGCTTGTATGGGACTCGGTGAGCTAAATCCAAGACTGCTCAGTGCCTTTAGCACAAGGGAGGGGACAAACAGGTCCTTCCAGGCACTCACATCTGCTTTTTTGTCATTGGGGCCAGATTGTGCCGCATTTGTCCAATTCTTGATCTGCTTTTTGATTTTGGGAAGCTTTGTGACTTTATCTTGAGTGGATTTTTCTATTTCCAGACCCTGAAGTTCTGAGTCCTGGTTTTTATCTTTTCTTATCGGCCGCTTCGGTTTCTTTTTCTTCTTTTTGTTACTCTTCTTTGTGAGTTTTGGGGCATCAGGTTCTGAACTGATTGCTGTATCTTTACAGGCGTCTTCTACAGGCCTTGCCTCTTCTCCTCCCTCCTCACCTGCAGCTACATCCTTCTCCATCACTTCTTCAGCAGTGTTATCTGGCTGGTCCGATTCCTGTGCAACCACTTTCTGATTTTTCCTCTTTTTGGCTTTCTTCTGAACTGGTTCAGCTGTTTTCTCTCCCTCTTTGCTCTCCACAGCTACCTTCTCTCCAGCCTTCTCTCCCTCGCAGGCTTTTCTCTTCTTCGTTTTCTTCTTCTTCTTCTTCTCCTTTTTGAATTCATTTGCTGCTTCAGCTGCAGCCTTCTCAGAGTCTACCAACCGGTAATCTGTCAGCTCTTCAAAACACACCAGACCCTCCAGTCCCTCCTCGGAGAAGATACTGGGATCGAGCTCTAACGCTTTCCATTTGCCTTTCATATGGATGCTCCGTTTGGCTGGTTTTATCAGCCCGGAGGACATGCGCTTGTATCTGGGCTTCATCTTCATTATCTTCATTTTCCTACAAATATGTACCGAGTCACGCCAATACGTTGAATTGCCTCCGTCAGACGGAGCAGTTAAACGCGTAGCGGTATGTGTGAAGTTAGCTCGCAGCTAGGTGAACTCCAACTATGTACTAAATACCCGTAAAAACGTCAGACCCGATTGGCTTGGTAAGCCGTAAACAACAATACTACAACTATAAGTAAAAGCAATGAACACAAAGTACTACATTGACTGCCTGTGTTGTTTTTCTATGTCAAAATATTGTTACAAATGATGACAACCACGCATGACACGAGGGCGCAGCCATGACAGTGTTGATCACGTGGTTTGAAAAAACTTTATTTGTCCAACAAACAGTTACAGAGTTTTCTGCGGGAGAGAAAAAACTATTCATGTGATATATTTGAAGTGAAGTGATCAGGAGCGTGCTGTCTCTAGATATAGTGATCATATTCATACAATCAGTTATTGAAACATTTCAGAGAAAGTAATACTTTCACACATGTCTAAATTATTAAGACTGGATGTGTTGTAAAGGCACCTTTAATAAAAGGTTTATACATTGTAAGTAATGACTAAATTCATTATTTATAACCATATTCATTTTTAACACTTCCATAATGCCAGTGAAAAACATCTCTTGCTGGTGAGCCGTCACGTTTGCAGGTATAAATGTTAAGTCATTAAGTAATGTTTCTCATTTTTTATTAAGCCATCATAAAAAGTTAGTAAATCATCTGTACACATTTATAAATGTAAATAAATCATGGGATAAGGATTTTTACGATAATTTGCCAAGTCTGCAGGTTTTAAATGTTGATACATATTTAAAGGTTGATTTCCAGATGTAAAGAGACGAAAAGCCAAAGTGCCCTGGTGCTGGTGCTCACATGCATGTACCCGGCCCTGCTCATTTAGTTTGTGTTTTGCACACATCTTAGTCCGAGAGACGAAATGATTTCATTAAATTCAAAAGAAAGGCACAATAATGTTCATTCTTTATTATAGAACAGAACAGCACAAGCTTTAAGATGCATGAAAACAGCCAGTTAAAAGCCTTAGTAAACAACCCAGTCATGACTGCTAGTTTTTGGTAGGGTCAATCACCCTGCCCATGAACAGCAGACAGTTTGTGGCTTCATGGTATATGAAGAAGAAAAACGGCCTGTTGACAATGAAGGTACTGGGTAAGGAATATGCAATAATGCCAGTTGTTGTGGCTGCTGCTGCAATGGTTCCTGTCTCGTCCACTTCGATCATTGCCTTGTGCAGCACCTGTGATTTTATAGTAGAGATTCAGAACAAATTTAACATCTGCAGAGGTTGGAATATGCAAGTATGCATGCTACAGCATTGTGGAATGGAAAACGAACCTCTGACACTTTGAGGCCTTTTTCTTTACTCAGCTTTGTCAAATTGGCTGAAGTACTGAAGATGCTGGCCATGCCCATATCTGGTAGAAGATTTTGCAGGGAATACGACTCCTCCAACTTGAATTTGGGTAACTTGACATCCAGTTTGCTGTGAACATAAAGATATGGCCCTCAATGTTGAGTAGACTCACTTGTTATCGGTTGCTGTAGGCGTTTGATATTATATATTTGCATGTTTGTTGAAGTGCTTTTTGAAAAACCTTTCTAGAGAAAATGTCACAAAGTGCTTCATGGCTCAAATACAACAGAACACAGACAATGAGATAGTAGACAAACTATAGAAAGATGAGTTTTCCAGGTCAGTGTAAAACATTTTCCACATAATTACTTTCTATTACATTTTTCGCAGGTTTTTGATCCAGCTGAGGTACTTCTTCGCAGTGATCCCATCATCAATTACAGTGTAGTCCATGCCTTTGTTTGGTAGCAGGATAAGCATGGAAACGCCTTCCTGATATGGTAGCTTCAACACCTTAGCACCAAGAGGAACATCCTCCATTGAGTAGAACTTATCCGCTAAAAACATCATCGGTACTTGCACAATGTTGTAGTTGTCAATGTAGAACGGTGCACTTTCAGTAAAATTGGGGTTGAAAGGCTTCTGCCAGGATCCTGTAGAGGAAATGATACTGTTAGTTTAATTGTGACACTAATGGTCGAAGGTCAAAACACAAATGGGTGTCAAAGCACGGTTAATAACAACCTTACTAGGGTGATTCAACTTACCCTGGAAGAAAATTGTGTTGATTAACATGAGTTGGGTCAGTGAATCCAGGGTGGACATCATGTCTGTCACTTTGTCCTGAGTCTTGTTCTTGATATACTCATTGATGAACCTGATACTCCCTTCTGTGTCCTCAAAGTCTACACTTCTGATGTCAGCTTCAAAAAATGTCTTGATTTGATCTTCAAATACTTTCTCTACCACAAACTGCTGGCCCGTGAAGAGGGCCATGCCTTGGTCCAGTTTCAGTGATCCATTCTGTTTGATGTTCTCATGAAGGAGTTGAAAGAGTGTTGGGATAAGTTCTGGCTGGTCAGCCCGCTCCAGCTGCTCCAGGTTGAGTCCCTTCAGTATTTCCTCGTGTGTGATGCCATCAGAAGCCATTAAAAGAGCAGCAAAGCTGGTGGAGATGCTCAGAGGCGAGAAAAAGATATTGTTGTCATGATAGCTGGATATTTTTCTGTATAGGTTCATGGCAAAGTCCATATTTTTTAAGGAAAGATCTGAGATGGTGGTGCTCGGAATGTGCGCTTGGTGGACAGGAGCGAGGAAGCCCATGCAGGCTACAATTAAAATAAATCCCATCTTCATTTTGCGTACTACCATATTTTGAGGTTTGGTTGCACAACCTGAAACAGACATGTAGATGTCAAAAGATCATTTCAAAAAAGCACAATTGAACAGTGACACGATAAATATCCCATCTGGTAAAAATTAGAAAACAGATTTGATCCCATAAATAACTTTTGTTTCCTTTCCATTACCACCAAAAGCACTTAAATAAATTCAGTTTTGAATTGCAATAGATTGTGCTGACTAAATATAATTTTCCACAATTGACTAACTATCATACGTACCATTCAGCTATAGTGGGAGTCTACTTCTGAAAGCTACATCTATTATTTGGGGAAACAAAGTGCAAGTGTGCTTTGAGCGTTACATATTAACCACGACTCACTGCCGGTTGTGTTGTTTTTGGAACGTTCAGGGTTTAATTTCCAGAGGCGATGCCACAAGAACTGTCAATAATTGCAGATTAACCTTGACGGACAAAAACTGAGACATGAGAAACTTCAGGAGGAGTGAATGTCACTTTAATCCAAGAACTAATACATTAAATGAAAGAACGTGCTATGGTAACATGAGTACTTATTGTGAGAACGAAGTGAGTGAAAATAATGCGAAGATAAAAGAAACCCAACAACCAAGATTTTATACCCTCTCGCAGGTGCATTTTAAATAGACAAAGCCAAACAGATCCAAAGAAAATGAAAACAATATGACAGTTTATTGGAAGTCATCCAGCACAAGAAGCAACACTTTGCATGACATCCAATACTTTTGTGGAGGCATCAAGATATATCCATGCTGAGCACGTCATTGGTTCCAGAAAATGTAATAACTGTAAACGAACTCAACAGTTGTAATGCTGTAATGTGATCAACAATGTGTGTTGCAACATGATATTGGCTTTTATGAAATTAAAAAAAAAAACTCTTCAAAGCGATGTTCTGTTCCATCTTTGGATTTTAAATGGCACAAATAATGAGGTTAAATAACAGTTGCCATTCATTCTCGCGAGTTGACTCATTTTGGAAGATCATCAATCAGCTGACGGCTTTCATAGCATTAAGCCAAGGCAACCTCAGTAAAAATCGATGTATCTGCACAACTAATGTGTATAACATCGCTCAAAGTGTTTTTGGAATACGGGATCAGTCAAATCAGTGCAATTAAAAAAAGTATTTCAGGGTAAAACTAATGACCGTTTGTGGCAGTACATAAAAGAGAGAATGATCATTTTAACAATCTTTTCTTTATAAATACTGATGACAGATGAAGTCTGTTGGACATGTCAGACTTTTATTTGGTTTTAAGTGATTTTGCTGTGCTGGAAAAAGGAACCATGTATTTATTTATCAGCTGCAGTTTCATGCCGTTTACAGATTGCTTCTTTGTTCCCCATTACATGTTAACTTATTCTGGACAAGACATGAAAAATATTCATCAGTCAAAAGCATCTTAGATTCAACCAATAGTTCTATAGAATTCTGTTGTTCAGCATCCACCAAAAGTGGACAGAACACCCTTAATATTGTGTGTGTTAATAAGTGTTTGTGAGCGGTGTAATCTTACATTTCATGATGCCTACTTATACACTTAAAGGTGATAACCAAACCACAACATCAACAATATGTTGTTGTCTAAACACCTTGGAAGTTCACTCTCAGAGATCCACAAGTAAAATGATTGATGAAGTCAGGAATTAATGACCCACACGTTTTAGTGCTGCTGGCTAAAAGATATTTCAATACAAGAAATGATTCCAAAACCACACTGGTGTTCTGGTGGGGCGTGCGTTGGATTCACATCTAATGTCCAACAAACGCAAGTCCAATGGAAAGGTAGGGGCCTCTGTCATTATCCATCAAACCTTTATCTGTGGTCCTAACATTGGTCTCTCATGGCTTTCACAGAACAATCACCTCAGTGTAATCGCCCCAAAAACACCCTGTATGCTGAAGACTCCTTTCCATCTCTTGCAGAGAAAAAAAACGAGAATAAGAAACAGTTTACAATAGAAATAGAAGGCGACATGGTACAAAGGCAATTGCAAACTTGGATTAACTGCATCATGAGTTCTGTAGTCACTCTTTTCCCAGCGTCAGTGTCTCACTGAGTTAGATTGGACTAACTGATGCTTTTCTTTGTCGTTGTTCTCTTCTCTATAGCCTGTCAGCGAACTAATCAGGGGAAACGGGTCAGCCTTCTGACTTTCCTTATGTTCGCATGTGCAAAAAGGTTAGAGGAAGGAGCAAAGCTATCCCCGTATTGGGTCGCCAATCCTGGCAGGTGGTAAACAACATAGGCAAACCTTGCACGCCTTCACTGGCTGGGCTTTTGTTGTTGGTCCTCTTCAGAGCCAATGTTTACGAATCCTTAAAGAGGAGAGAGGCTTTTTGATCAAAGTCATAATAATCTGCACTGTATGTATATTATATATATACACACACACACACACGTTTACAAAAATATATCAAAACTACTTACCTGAGCCACCTGATGATTTCGTGTCTGGTTGTTGAGGAATGTTCGGCTGAGCTTGTTGCTGCTGCCTGAGGAGTCAACGGTGAGGGTTTGCATCAGAATCCATGCATTCATTTTCCATTCACTCAAAAGGGGGTTGACACAATATCATGAATACTTCAATATAAATTAATTACAACAAGAAATATTATGGCCTAAAAAAACACCACCAAAATAATGTTTACATAAACAAGTGTTGATAGAAGTTGGTTAAATTTACCGATCAAAATAGGCTTGTCTCCTCTTCCGCAGTTCCTCGGCTGTGAGAGCCTCATTCTGGCCGGCTCGTTGTCCTCCTGCAGCACTGCCTGCTGCCTGGCTCCCTGATTTCACATTTCCCATTTCAGACTCTGAGGACTTGTTGCTCATCACTGCACCTAGAATTATAATAATAATAATAATAATAATAATAATGTTACCTAGGGGCAAAATGTGCAAAAATATGACTGAAATCACTGATATGATCAATGGAAAAGGCCTAATTAACAGTGCAATACATATACACATATATATACATACACATATATATATGTGTATACATATATATACACATATATATATACACACATACATATATACACATATATATATATATACACATACACACATATATACACATACATA